ATTGTCGCTGCTTTAGCCTGACCAGGCAGAAACCCCTAGCCAATACATAAGTAACCTATTCCCTTCCTCCTTTGCCTACAGATCGTGCGAGAGGGGCAAGGGACGCTAGACGACGTGTGTTATCAGCCACGGCCATTCTTCGATCGGCATTGCGGAGGGCGCATGTGCCAACTGTCTATACAGCGCTGCGGGAGAGTACTACTGCTCATTCAGAGAGTTGCTACCTAAGGTCACAGCAGATACTGATACAAATCCCGAACTGCAGCAACTCAAGGGGAAAGATTTTCCTACGCACCTCGCTTTTGGACTATTCAAGTCGATTTCATTAACAGCTCCTAGGTGGTTCAACGACCAGACGGTGTCCACAGTCACGATGCCATGGACTATACTACACCTCGGCCCAATTGGAGTTACGATGTGTGCAAGCAAGACTTCAACTAGAATGAGAAGGATTCACACACCTGCCCAGGGCCTTTGAGCACATACTATAAGTGCTGTGTCCGCTTTTTAGAAGGCAAGCTGGCGGCACATCGGCTTCTATGCCCAGTGTTTCGCTGCAGTACTTGCAGCAACAAATTCAAAGACGCAGAGCAGCATCTCAAGGATTGTCGCGGTCCACACAAGAGACCAAGGAAACAGTACAGCAAATACAACATCAGCCACTAGGATGGCATGATGCTACTCGGCGTCAAATAAAACTTGACGCAAGAGTGCTGTCCTTGCGACTCTCAAAGCTCTATAGGACCTCTGGAGGACATCCTAGACAATGGATATGCGGGGGATCTCTTACTGAGATTTGAGGAGAAGCATACATTGGATGATTCCGTGGATGATTCGAGTTCAAGATGCCTTTCAGCTATAGACTAAAGCATGTCTACCTCCCTAATCTAAGATAGCATATAGTTCTTGAATCTGCTGCAGCACAGCTGATCGACTAGTACCGCCCCTGGCCGTTTTTGCCTCAACACTCGACTCGTATTCGAATGCCTTCATAATATCAGCTGTGAATCGACAATCAATCGCTTGCAGTTGCTCTAGGGTTAACTTATCCATCGGGGTTTCCGTGGATTCAGATAATGCAACAACGCGTCCAGAAATATGATGAGCTTCCCTGAAAGGACATCCATTTCGCACTAGCCACTCTGCAACATCAGTAGCAAGCATTGTCTTATCCAGGGCAGACAACATCCGCTCAGGCCGCACGGTCATGGTAGCGAAAACCCCGTTGGCAATGCCTAGACTGTCCGAAACAGTTTGAACTGAATCCAACATGGGTTCCCATCCCTCCTGAAGGTCTTTGTTGTAGCAAGTTGGCAAGCCTTTCACGCTCTATTAGGTATTAGTGGCCGCTCTTAATCCGCTTTGATCACTCATGATTTAATGTCTGTATTTGAACTCACCATCATCAGTCCAGCCATTTGACCGAAAGCACGGCCTGACTTGCCGCGCAAGAGTTCCAAGCTATCAGCGTTCTTCTTGTTCGGCATCAAACTAGAGACGTGGATTAGTCTCGTAGGATTATCTGGGATTCGCAATGGATATAACAAACCTGCTGCCGGTACTATAAGAATCTGCCAAACGACAAAACCCAAACTCGAAAGTGGAGTATAATATCAGATCTTCAGCCCACCTGCTGATATGGCTGGTGAACATTGAGTTCCAGTTCAGAAACTCGATGATAAAGTCACGGTCGCCTGAAGTGTTCATAGAGTTCAGAGTGATTCCGCTGAAACCAAGCTCTGCAGCTATTGCCTCTCGATCAATGCCAAACACATTGCCAGCTAATGCGCCACAACCAAGCGGGCTAATGTTGACCCTTTCAAAGACCTGGCGCAATCGCTCGAGATCCTGCTTGAACGAAGCAGCATGTGACATTATCCACTGACTCCAGCGAACTGGCTGCGCATGTTGTAAGTGGGTGTAGCCGGGCATGAGGTAGTCGCTAGGGATGTTATTTAGTAAGGGGCTTTGTCCGCATGCGATGTGGTGCTAAGCTTACATTTCAGCCTCAGCGCGTTTGGCGAGGACTTGAAGGAAAGCAACGAGTTGGCCGTCGATTTCACGGATGCGGTCACGTAGCCACATACGCATGTCACAGACGACCTGCTCATTACGGCTACGACCTGTATGTAGCTTACCAGCGGTGTCCTTTCCGATAAGCTCTCCTAATCGACGCTCATTTGCAGTATGAATCTGATTTATCATGTTAGCGTCCCTCAGGTTCGGTAGTATAGGCTAGGCCTTACGTCTTCGTCGTTTGGCATAATAGCGAAGGTTCCCTGCTTCCATTCTTCCATCACTTGAAGCAGGCCACGTTCAATCGTCTCGAATTCGTTGTTGGTAATAATACCAACCTTCGAGTTGGCCCTAGCGAAAGCGATCGATCCAAGAATATCCTCTCTATAGAGAGCCTTATCGTATCGGATAGAGGCATTGTACTTGTGCATGAGCGGATCAATCCCACCTATAGCAAGCATCGTAAGGTCAGTATACAGTACACTGGATCTGAAGTTTCTGTCCGGGGACAATCGAACCTGTAAACCTGCCACCCCAGAGCATGTTGGCTGCCGGGGCGTCCGTCTTCTTTTCAGCCATATTGGGGTATTTGTTCTCAGCGCTCCCCGCGATCGTTGCGTTTGTTAGTTCGTTGCTATTTCAAGCCCGATAGAACTGATGGAGCCAATTGAGGGACGCGAGTCAATTGGGATGATGTTGCTTGACTGAAAAGATCGAAAATGAGGGCGGGGCTGATCAAGTTCGAAAGCTTTGTCGCGGACGTGATGATGGTTGAGCTCAAGGGCAGTCAGTCAATGGGAAAACTTAGTGGCCGACACCGGCGGTGAGTCACCTTGCACGCAAGCTTGGACGCGAGCTTGCACGTGAGGAACCCTAAGCATCCTCACGCTGAACATGCGCCTCGCTCTCTCGTTCAAGCCATTGACTCAGCCTAGGGCGATTTTCTCGGAACAGAAACGGCTGAGCATGACAATGGTATCGGAACCAATCGAGGATATATACGCTTCTTGCTTATTATGCGTAGTTCCTAATTCATTGCGCGCGTGGGTTGCTCTCGCCGTGGGAATCTAGGGTCAATGCTCGTATCGTAGCACCCATGGCATGTTCGACTGGCTTGATCCCAGAGATGCACATTGTGCGTGGGCGGCACTTGACGCGGTCGGACAGTTTCTAATAATTAAGGAATAAGGGCCAAAGTCAAGGGTTCAGTTATTCTGGCACTGGGCAGCTGGCATGGTAATGGTGATATCTTAGGTTAACAGATAATTCCTTTGCACTAGGTATTGTCTAAAGTGACCATGGCCTCAAAATAACTGCCCGATGGTACATCTCCATGTTGGCAGTAAGTCGGCCCCAACAAGCAACTCAAGGACCTACTTGCATGGCTAAAAGCAGCGACTTGGACATCTACCTGGATACAGTAAGTATCTGCCTGTTGGCTGTCCTGGCTTTGGGCAGTGAGCCAGCCCAGTGTGGCAGCCGCAAGCTCGGCAGCACGCCGCTAAATTCGATTTCAGCCTGTTTTCGATGGAGACCGACTCTCATCACCTACTTACCAAACTAGGCAGGTGCGGGGCATTTACAGGTATGTAAGGTAGGTACCCTCCCGCATGCGTGTATTCATACAGTACCAAGACCAGACCAGACTGGTCAAGCTAGCGCCTTCCTGCCCAGGGAGAGGTAAGGTTCAGTTGCATTAGTTGTCTTCAAAGTTTACCTAGTACTGCTAGCAGCATGTATGGGTATCATCCGAACCATCCCCCTTTCCCCTCAATCCTTATCGATGACAGAATGCTACCCAGCTAAGTAAGTGGGAAGATAATACCTAATAATGCTGCCCCTTTGACTCAGATGGCATGTTAGGCCATTCCACTAAATTGGAACCCCCTGTTCAGATGAAACCTCTGAGTCCAGACAAGGGCGGTCCAACAGACGTCTTCTTCAAGCCCAGTTCATCTCGACCTTCCTTGTCTGCCCTGGCCTGGCCTGGTCTGTCCGTCCCGCCCTGCAGCTTCGCCTTTCTTTACCTGGGCAGTGTATCCATACGTACGGATAGATGGCACAGCACTCGCCAAGAGAAGCGCCATCATATTTCTTCGTCCTCTCTCTGTCTCTCCCCCAAGATGATGAATAAACATCCCATCGCCCTGTCCAATCTCGCTATCGCCCACATCACGAGTTCGTTGAGATACGAGCGTTCCCCCATCATCAACCCCAGAGGCCAAGGTTAAACGACCGCTAGATAACCCCGGGATCGTCATGCATGACTCTCACCAACGGGATTGTCAGCCATGCACCTTTCTCTCTCTCCCCTTGGTCTGGGTTGTCCATGCCTCGTGTCGGCTAACCTCCTACTACCGGTACTCAAGTTCCCGTGCGCCCGTTCGGACGGGTTGCACGTCGAGTCCTGAGATTGGCGTCCACCAACCAATGCCGCCATTCACTCGACACCTTGCCCGTCAATCCGTCCATCCCTCTGATCTGGTACAGGTGGTCTGATCTATCTACTTTACTTTTCGGTATATGCAGTGTAGCTCCGCGCTAGATTCTCCCGACCCCCAACTCCTTCCTGGTTTTCTCGTCCATCTAAGCTGAGGGTTGCACAAAGCATAAAGCAAACCCTAGGAAGGGAGAGACACGCACCCACGCACACTTGCATCTCAGACAGCTGGAAACCTGCAGGTCGGAACCTGACCCTCACTCCCCATCTCATTCAAAACTGTCCTGAGTCGTGTCTTGTCTTTGGCAACTGCAGATAAGCACTTGCCTTGCTCCCGCCAACTCCCCCTAAGCTCAGCTCGCCTCGCCGCAATCCTTCAGCTCATATTGCTTTTTCCCATCCATTCTGCCCTTCATCCATTCTCCTCCTGAACCATCCTCTCGCCCTCGTGCTCTTGCTCTCTTCCCGGCTTTCACCACTCCACTGCGGTTGCTGTCACGGACAGTCACTCGGCACCTCTTCATTATGCCTTCGAGTTGACAGCATGGAGCCAACCACCGTAATTGGCGCAGTGTCGGCTCTTGTCGAGCTCTTCGCCGACGGAGCAGAGCATTACGCACAATGGAAGCGGAAGCGTGCCCTCAACAACAACTATTTCCGGAACCCAGATTCTGGCGTTCGGAGACATGTCATCACCTGTGCTCTGAGCATATCCTTAGACGCATCTGCCAACCAAATCAAGGAGACATATGACATTGGATTCACTCTACTCGGCGCCGAGTTCTCTCTGGGTGATGGTGAGTTTCATTTGCAACTTATTCTCGTCGTGCAATCTGCTGCTGCTGCCGCTCAGTCAGGGATGGTGCCGCCAACATCTTAGTTGACCTGTCTTGTGCTGATGGTACACAATGTGTAGCAACGTGTCGGGATATGCTCTGCAACCAGCTGTTCAACCTCGGCAGCCGCGTTTCACACTTGCGTCGGGTATCCGCTGACTCGTCGTCAACCGGTCTTCTGAATCTCCCGGACATCATACAGGCATCCGAGTCGGCGAGGCTCGCTTCCGTTCGCGCACTGGCAGAACTATACTTTCGCGTTGCAGGCGGCCGCCCTGATATCCCCAAATCTCTCCCAGTCCCCAGACCTCGTCCGCACCAAGATGGGTCGATATCGCGATATCCAGCCAGCCCAGAAGAAGAGAATAATGGGGGCGGCGACAACAACGAAGGCGATGACGAAACGACAACGGCCATGACTATCACCACGGATCAGGCACCGTTCCATTCAGAACCGCCTTCGCCTCCTCCGACTCCGCCAGCACCAAAACCTATTAGCAACGACGACGTATCCCTGTTCACGCCCTCAGAGGCCGGTGCCAGCAGCACCGGCACCGTTCACCTCCGTCCAAAGGTCAGCGTCTTCAGCATGTTCTGCCCCGAGGCCATGACGTTCCAGGTCGATCTCTCCAAGAGAATCCCGGAGACGCCCAAGAGGTGCAAGTGCGGCTATCGGTGGATGCCGCTGCTACCCAATAACAAGGACTTCATTGTCCTGAAAGAAGGATTTCGAATGTCCAGTCGCTTTTTGGCCAAGTCGCATTCTGATAGAAACGAGTTTGCCTGCTGCCTCTGCGTGCCTTCAGGAAAGACGAACAAGTACGAATCGGCCGATGCCTTGCGGGCACACATCAACATCTCCCATACCAAATGGCAGATCCTCCACGACCGGGACATATCCTAGAACTTCCTTGCAAACGTCAGTCCAAAGCTCAAAACAGGGGTGCTATCTTGGCTCAGACACGCTAGCCGCCCTCTCTTGCATTGGTGGGCGGTTTCGGTTTCTGTCGCGAGAACATGCCCATCACTTGGTCTGTTGAGTGGGCTCTGAAGGCGACAGAGAACAAAGACAAAAAAATAAAAATGGGGGGGGGGGGGGGGGGGACGATGCACATACGGACACACACAAACACATGCAAAGCAAACAAAAACAAACAGGTGTAATATTTTTGGGGCGGTATATTACGGGAGCGACTGTCTGTAAATACAAGATACCCAACAGGAGGGAATGTGCTCTTTCTTAGGACATAATTGACCATATTGTTTTGGATTGGTCTTGCGATCACCATTGATCCGCCGATGTTCGGGGGGGGGGGTTTCTTGTTTTCTTTCTTTCTTTCTTTCTTTTTTCTTCTTCGCACTCTCCGGCTGGATAACTTACAGGCGATGATGAGCCTACCCTGCACTTGAGCGTAATGAATCGACACCGTTACAATGTTGTGGAACTGATTCCATGTGTATTCGTATTGTCTCGGGGTTTTCAACATCCCTGAAAAGAACAACTCGAGGCGTACACGCTCAAGGCATTAATTAACCCCTGCGTGCGGAATGAAGGCGGCTGGCCGTCCTCGTCTACCTTGCAAACCAGCCGCTTGCTATAAACGCGTTCCCAAGGTCAATGGCGGCTGTGATTGAAAAGCCAGGTAACCTCCTCCTTGAAAGCCGGTCTGGTCACCTTCGTCACCCGTGGTGGATGAAGATGCTGCGTTGGCACGTCAACGCCTTTACTATATGTACACTGGACTGGACGGGGGGGAACGGCTGCCGGCAGTTCGTCTGGTTCGAACCCCTGGGCCGGCCCGTGCAATGCGAGTGTGACGGACAACGTCCCCGGTCAACCAGCGCCGGGGTCATATGGCATGAGGGTACCTAGGTATGTAGGTACGATACCGTACGATACGTAGGGTTTGTCGAAGGCATAGGTGGATAGGAGGAAGGCATGTTAACCTTGTGGAAATACAGTACGTGATACCGACTGTAGCATAGCGGCACAAAACAAACATGAGCTTGGCGGTTTAAATGCTCCGGGTGAGGGGTAAGGAAGGTACTGTAGGTACTGTAAGTACCTAGCTACGGATACCTTCCTTGGTACTTTGGAGCTTCATGGACAGTGTCAGAAGCCATGACAACCAACAAACACACGCTCTGTCCCACCAAAGTACATGCAGTAATAGGTCAACGTCAAACAGCACCAGCACCGGAGCGCCCAAAGCTTCCAACTCTCTCCACCGACCGACACTCCTCCACACGCGCGCGCGACCATCTCGCAATCCGTGCTCCTTTGCTGCCCCAGATATCCAGACAGCAACTAACGTATCGGTGCCATCATCTGACCCGCGACTGCTCCAACCTCGGGCCAAATACAGACAGACAACCACACGAGGCCCGCCTCTATTTCTGCCATTGGCCATGATCGAGTATTCTTTGCTGGTCTGACGACCCGACCCCAGAGCAGCCAACCCCGAGTCGTTATGTCGTTGATCCCGTACCACCCGCGAGAAGGTCGCGAGATTGTTCTGTTTGTCGTCCCCTTTGATGCTCGTTCTTTTCTGCTTCTTCTGCCGCCTAGTGCTCACTAACGCCCTTCTTCTTCTTCTTCTAGTCGGCACCGCAACGCCATCGTCGTTCGCGACCCATTCTCCCAGCGACTCGAGATTCGAGGCTTGTCCGAGTGCCCGACTTGCCGCCAGCCCCTGCGATCATCTTCTCCAGAGCGCCAGTTTGACAGTGCTCGCCATCATGAGTCCTTCGTCGACCCCAACTACTTCCGCATGCTACGAGCTGGCGGCCAGGCCGCGAGAGCCGACCATCCTCCGTCCAGCCCCATCCGCCGATTTGTGCAACCGAGCTTACCCCACCCACAGCCTGCCGTCATAGAGGATGCCGAAGACGCCGAGTTCGTTTCGAGTACACCAGCTATCCAGGAGGGTAGTCGCATTCGCCGCGAGGCCTTCAGCCCCAATTATTTCAAGACCTTCTTTGTCGAGGAGAAAGAGCTTGGTCGCGGGGGCAAGGGTGTTGTGCTACTTGTCCGTCATGAAATCGATGGCTGCCATCTCGGTATGTGCTCTCCGGAACACATTTGCTCCGTCTTCGCTGACCGTTACAAGGTCACTTTGCGTGTAAGCGAGTGCCTGTAGGCGACGACCACGCATGGCTCGAAAAAGGTATGAGGGAGTACTCTGGACCGCGCTTGCCCAGCGAACCCGTGCTGAAATCTGCTTCTCTTAGTGCTCGTCGAAGTCGAGTTGCTCGCCAAACTGTCCCACCCAAACCTGGTCTCCTATCGCCACGTTTGGCTCGAGGATGTCAGATTGACTCGGTTTGGCCCGAGTGTGGCATGCGCCTTTATCCTGCAGCAATATTGCAATAGCGGCGACTTGCTTCAGTACATCAATGGTGATCGGCCCAAGGAATCCACCAAAGAGCAGCTCAAAGCGCAAATGCGCCGCAAGTCCAAGGGCCAGCTCGAGCTACCTCGCGACCAGTTTGCTTCACAGAGGCTGTTGTCCTTTGAGGAGATATTCTCTATCTTTAAAGACATCACCTCTGGACTTGCCTATCTCCACGCTGCCAGTTACATCCATCGCGACCTCAAGCCAAGCAACTGTCTTCTGCATCGTGAAGGTAATGGGCTGCTCTGCCTCATCAGTGACTTCGGCGAGGTCCAGTCTGAAAACATGGTCCGCAAGTCAACCGGATCAACCGGGACCATTTCCTTCTGTGCACCAGAGGTTTTGAAGAAAGACTCGACGGGTCGATACGGCAACTTCACCGTCAAGTCTGACATCTTCTCCCTTGGAATGATCCTTTACTTCATGTGCTTTGGCCGTTTGCCCTACCGCAGCGCCAACACGATCAACGAAGAATTGGAAGATATCGACGAGCTGCGCGCGGAAATCAGCGACTGGCAGGGCTTCCAAGACGAACGTAGAGAGCGTCCAGATCTTCCATCAAAGCTCTACCAGCTTCTCAAGAAGTTGCTCGCCCTTGACCCCTCACAGCGCCCGAGCGCAAGTGAGGTCCTGGCCGCTATGAAGACGGAGTCAAGTCTCGATGGTGTTCCCCGAGGTAGGAGCTCGAGCCCGCCAATCGGCCTCAGCGGACGCCGGATCCAGAGCCTGGACTCTCCAACGCCTTTGAGCACACCCGTCCCAGGTATGTGGCTCATCAGCATCAAGAGGTCACGCCATCCATCAAACTGATTTTGTCACAGATCCCCACAAGTACGCGAGGTATCCGTCATCTCAAGAAGGATACAACATTCCCAGTAAGGCCGCTGATGACGACCCTCCGCACGCCAGCTCGCTGAGGCAATCCGACTCGGGCTCACCGGGGCTCAGGCCCCAAGCTCAGACCATGGTCTCGTCACGAAGTCAGGATAGCTTCATCCGCCTGTCCCCAGAGCGGGAAGAGAGTGTGGATTCCGGCAAAGACGCGCCTCTGAACTCCCCGCCACTGTTGATGCCGCCTACTGCGACACGCTTCGAAGCCTTGCAGCACAAACTTATGATAGGAAGCATGCGGGCCAGCCAGCTTATACGTTACAACGCCGGTCCCCTCCTAGCGGTCCTCCGTCTCGGTTTGTTCCTGAGCAAAATGCTCAGCTTGACACGCCCCTGTTGGCCTTTCATGGCGAGTCCGAACATAGCAGCCCCTCTGGTGATACTGGCCGCGCTCGATCTTGGTCTTGCCAGTGCCGGTGCAAGGCCGCTCGCTCGATATGGGCAAGAGACCGGTAGACGCATGTCCAACGGCTTACCATGGGCCTGGGGCTTGCGAGGTAGTGTCGTTCTTGTCATTCTCCACATGATTGTTCTTTGGGTCGGCAGTCGCTGGAACTCTTTGTGCATGTCAAGGCCCAATACTTGGCATATGTAATGATCTCGGCCCTCGGTAACAAGAGGATGCATTGGCAGTTCCCCCATTGCATTGAGCATGGGAAAGAAGTCGACTTTGGCGTTGGCTGGGCGCACCAGCCGCTGGAAATTGCTTGCTCATGTTGAATTTATATCAGGGAAAAGTCGATGAGTGTCGACGGAGAAAACTCGCTGGGGGCGGGGGGCATTATGAACATTGCTCTGTCTCGAACAATTTTGTATTTCTTGTAGTGCTAGTTATACGGGTGTACTTTCTTTGGGGCATTCGCTCTATCGTACAGAGGCGGCCAAAACTTTGTAAAAGTATATGGTTCTTGACATCAAATTCGTAAGTATCAGCCAGTGTATGTTAGGTAGGCGGCGTTCTCGGACCCCAACATTCCAGGTTGGGGTCTGATCGTCCCGCTGTTCATGGCATCGGAATGAGTGTTGCATGCAGTGAAACTCATCATAGTTGATGACCGTGACCAAAAGAGACAGCATAAGAAGTCCCAACAGACGCCCCTATCAGAGCCTAGGGTCAGTCCGGGAACTCTTTTCCGCGATCTTCCTGCCTCAACCCGCAAAGAGCACGCGATGTCACAGCTGATGTAGTCTGGCTAATTCCAAGACTTGTCGAGGCAGATGGATCATCTATAGCGGAAGTTGAAGGGCGGGCAGGTCTCGCCGCCTTTGGCCCAATCCCTTTTCGTCTCATCTCTACTTCATTTCATCCTCAATTCATCCATTCCACCCCTCGTGCTGCTCGTGAGTAGAGTATATAGATACTAAGGTTTACCCCGCCACGACCTATAAACTTACACCGGAACCCATCTACAACATGTCATCACTACTTCGAGGCACTTCTTTCATCACCGGCGCTGCCTCAGGTATGCCTGTCCTTCCCCGAGCAACCCGTATAGCAATGTCCCGCACCACTGACGGAAAGGTGATATCAAGGCATCGGCCAACGAACAGCCCTGGCCTTTGCAAAGAACGGCATCACGCGCCTCGCCCTTGCCGATGTTAACCGCGAGGCTCTGGAGGCAACATCAAACCTCATACGACGCCAGTACCCCGCTTGTGAAGTCCTCGGCCTTCCGCTTGATGTTCGCAACGTTTCGGAGGTCAAGCACGGCGTCGCCGAGGCGGTGTCGCGCTTCGGCAGACTGGACGTCGCTGTGAACAATGCCGGCATCGGAGGCAGCGGCCGGCCCACGCACGAGGCTGATGAAGACGAATTCGCCAGAATCGTCGATGTCAACCTACACGGGGTGTCGAGATGCCAGCGCGAGGAGATCAAGGTCATGTTGCATCAGGAGTACGCACAACCGGGCCCCCCCCCCTCCACCCAAAGTCTCGGTCTCGGGGCGCGCAGTGGCTGATGTGAGCGTCCAGGGACCTGGGCTTCCGGCGCGGCCGCGGCGCCATCATCAACGTCGCTTCCGTCCTCGGCGTCGTGTCGCCGGCGCCGTTCATGTTCCAAACAGCTTACTCGGCCTCGAAGCACGGTGAGCCAACAACAACACGGCTTTTTATTTTTTTATTTTTTTCTTACGTGAAGCAACGTGCGTTGACAGTTCCTGTCAGGGATCATGGGCTTGACAAAGAGCGACGCCAACACGTACGGCCCATGCGGCATTCGAATCAACGCGATCTGCCCCGGCTTCATTGCGACCCCGATTAACCTCACTCTCGCAGAGGAGTCTGGCGGTGCGCTGGCTCGCTATATCGAGGACACGCCGCTCAAGCGTCTGGGCACGGCCGAGGAGGTTGCTGATTGTTAGCCTCTCGTCCCTTCCATCCTAGCTTTTGTCTCGACGGTCTGATTGAACTGACATGGGCTCTAGGCATTACATTTCTTGCTTCTGATATGAGCAGTTTCATGCAAGGGTCCGGTCTTGTTGTTGATGGTGGACTCGCGGCTCATTAGCCGGTATGGGGGGTTGATGTACAGGTGGGGTTATCCATCTGGCTTTGAGCAACTCTGTTTCACTAGCACACATAAGGTATCAACATTGTAGTGTTTTGAACAGCTTTGGGACAAGTTGCTCTTTGTAGGCATTACTCTGTAAGTGCGGCGGCTAGCCTATAAAGGATCCAGCGCGATTGATGGCTCTGGCTAACGGTAGTGATATGAAACCCACGAAAGCAAGGCATCACCTTGGCCCTCGCACTCCATCTCCGTTGAAAATCTCCGTGTTTGGTTTGGTTTGTGGATTATCAAAGACTCAAAAAATCCAGTTCATGATTTCTGGGGGCTCCGCGTGTCCTATCCCTGACCACTGCGTCCGCGATTGAATTCTGCACTAGCTCACCAAGGCTCACAGAGCACATTGGGTTGAGAGCGTTCTCGCCGCCTATCCAGCTCATACCTCCATGGCAGAAGAACTCTGTTACCTGTGAGGTGATCTGGTTCTTTGCCTTACTCTCGGTATCGCTCTGGGTCGTATGATCGCCTATGGTCCTTCGTGACGCAGTCGCGGTTTTGGGGCTAATATCTTCAGTTCCCCGGACAATATGGTGAGAGATTGACGGAGAATCAAAGCCGATACTCGGTGTACCTGAGCCGTGTTCGCTCATCAACTCATCGTAACCGAAGTCTCCCTGTTCGGACATGGGTGTGACACTTTCGTCAAGTGTGTTAATTGGCCAACTGTCAGGTGGCGTGGTCACGAGGCTAGACTCTTCTCTGGGTTTGATGTTATTTTCCAAGGACTCATGTAGCTCGTTACTTGGCCTATTGAGGAGGGCCAAGTTAAAATCAGAACCATCGCTGCCATTTGTGGTAAATGCATTCGGGCCGAACGAAGGGTAACCGCCGACATGGCAGTAGCTTTGCGAAGACCTGCGAGGCGATTTTTTGGATTGTTCAGTGAGGCATGGTAGAGTCGGATGATCGAATCCCAATGTTCCTCGACTAGGAACAGATAGACGCCGTCTCTTGTACGGTTGAGCGTCGGAAGCATTTGCTTCGCGCCTCGCCGGCATGGCCAGATAAACACTATCCACACTGCGTCTCCCGCCCGGGGTCAAAAGCGAACCGTGCTCATTGTCAGTAAGCGTGACTGGTGGCCGACAAAAGTCGCTAGGGCTGCCGATGTTGGATCGGAGCCGCTTAAGAACAACCTTCAAAAGCGCCTCCATACTTGCCGCTGGTTCGTACGCTCGCCCCATGTCACTGATGGCGCTTTTCAGTATATCGAGGTGCGTAAGGTATTTTCGTCTGTCGGAATCGTTCTGATGATACGCTGCTGCCGCGATCAAGGTAACGGCTGCCGTCACAGCGTGCTGAACGGCTGTGATGACGATCTTGGTACCGTCAAATTTCTGGCGGTGCTGCCAGAATATCTTTGCTACACTTGTTGCGTGAAAGTCGCAGATCCTACGAGAAGACGCTGTTCTGCCAGGCTCCATGTCCACATGAGGGCTTTTCGTCTCCGGAGGGTGGTTGAGATGCTGGTTTAAAGGCCCTATCGAGGCAGAACTCGAATCTGGAGTTGAGTACGGACCGGTGCTTTTGTCGTCACTGCCGTTCTCTGTGTGCATTGCCCATGGGCGATGGAGCAGTATCATGGACACATGGTACTGCTGGTGCAGAAGAAAATATCCCAGAGGAGCATGTTTGATGTTGGCGGGTTTCCATCGCAGATGCTCAGGTAACCGTATGTACCATTTTTGAAGACGGCGATGCAGGTCGACGGCGTATGTGTATGCGTTGTTTTCTCCCTCGCCACCTCCCATTTGAAGTGCATCCCGGGCCTGACGTTTGTCACCCGTTTCAAGGATGCAACCAGCGAGCCCCATCAACTCGACGAGATAGTCGTATATCTCCGCGGCATCGTTTGCAGTGTTGGGATGCCCAGGTCGTCCCCTGGGTGAGGCCAGCTTCTGCGAGCACCCTCTGGAGAGCAAGTCGAAGCCAATATCTTGGTTCTTGATACTCGTTGGCCGACCAAGAAACAGCGCCCAGTACCTGTCGTATACTACACAAGCTCGCATCACCGTGTGACGGACGTCGGTCTCATGCTCGTCAATCCCATTCTCACGACTGTCGACGTGAAGACCAATGTCGAAAGCCAGTCTGATGGCCATTCCTATGATGTTTGTTACCGGGAGTTACTTGGAAGTCGGAGAAGGCATTCGCTAAACTCACCAGCATACATCCAGCCTGTATAGTCTCTTCCAACGCCGCACTCTAAATCGCTGAGAAGTAAGAGGGCCTGCACGCTAGGGATGCCGCCAGACCTTTCGAGCACAACCTCGAGCATGCGTTGGGCCTCCCTATGTAAGCTGCTCTCCCGGTTTCCCAGTGCAACCCGCTCAGTGTCTTCTCGGCCAGGGTCGGCGAAGCGGAACCCCATGGCCAACATTGAAACGTGGAGAAATGGCGAATAGAACTTTGGGTCCTGCGACTCCCGGCTAGACTCAAAAGTTTCTCGATGAACAACCTTGAGCACGCTGTTGTAATGCGTCCAGAAATTGTTCATAAGATAGTCGTGAGTCGGGCCTGTCAAGGACCGAATAACGTTCTCAGCTTGACGGACTTGTTCTGGCGGCTCGCGGCATACGGAATCGTCCGTGGGCTCTGTTTGGGGCACACGAGGGTTGGAGGTAGGCCCGAAAAACCGCAGCTGTCCCGCGAGCTGATCAAAAGAGTATGTTCCGTTCGTTGATAGAAGGCGTTGGACAACACTCTCCACGCCCGTCTCGGGCAGGCAGAAAGAAGACTGTCCTTTGGGCCAAGGCGCTGTGCAATCTTCGGTCCCAGAATCGGGAGGAGAGGGAACTTCTGGAGCATTTGATCGCTCGTTCAAGTTCTTCTGCTGTCCGTGTGGCATTCCCGGGGGCATTGGAGCTTCATGTCTCGATTTAGGGGGGTGTAGAGCAGGAGGGGGTTGGACGCCCTTTTCCAGGAGCATACCCTCGAGCATGGCGATACGACTAGACAAAGAAGACATGTATGCCTTCGATATTGGTCTTTCCCCGCAACGCTGGTTAGCAATTCCACGGCAGACTTGAGGATATGGCCACATTCACATACCGTCTCCGCTCGTCGTCGTTCTTGATTATACATTCACTGCCGACTTTTTTGCACTGAGTGCACTTGGACTCACCCTCAGGGACGACACAACGAATTCTTCTGTCCCGGCAGGACGCACATGCAACAGAGGCTCTGTGCCTGACTGGTTGTTTTGTGCCATGGCGGGGTGGTTGCGTATAGGAAGCAGTGCTTTCCTGGGCTGCAGTCCCAACAGCCTCCCCGGAGGCCGACTTATCCTTCCCTCCTGAGACAGTCATGTTGTTACACTCTACCAGCGGAACGAAACCCGTCAGAACATTGGGAAGAAACGGACACGGACAGCCGTGGCGGGCTATAGTGACACGGTGATACAGGCCACCGTATGTTCGAGATTGGATAAGTGGTATGTATGAAGACGATACGGATTGAGAGAAAAGCAAATCCGGTGTCGAAAGCATGAACGCTGACGATGAAGAAGCTTAAGAACGTCGAGGCGAGACGGGGTGAACCCCGCTGTGACGACAAACAAATGGGGCAGTGGGAGTGTTGCACGGCACACCCCTCTTTCACCTCTTCTGCAAATTTGGGCTAGAACAAGATTCCCGGCTCAGTAGAGGCCAACAGAGGGACTGTGGATCCTGAGAGGCCAAGGATCTGGTGCGACACGGCAGTGCGTGCGGAGGAGCCGTAGGTGTAGACGCATAGATAGGTAGAAGACATGAGGGACGGGCAGCTTGTTGCCCCAAATGTCAACTTGCAGCAAGCTCTCCTTCTAGCTCCAACCAACCTTTGGGACAAAACCGCGGCCCTGCTAGAGGGATACTGATGGTGCAACAGGTGACGGCTGGTTATGACTCCTGGTGTCCAGGAAACCCTCAGAGTACCTCGAAGGGACGAACCGATGGCTCAACAATGTGTATCTTTAGGCCATTCACTACCCCGGACAGGTAGTCGCGGGGTGTCTTACGCCGAACCCACAGTCAAATGATCTGGGGATAGTGGATCAAGAACAGAGAGGCCTTATACATACGGTAGTAAGCTAGCCTCAGGTACGCTTGTTACCTCGGGCACTGGCCGGATGAATGTCGGTATGAGCAGACGGAGAGCGGGGAAGTATGGAAAGCTGGTAAGGTCTAACCAAATGGGCAAATCATTGTCCTTAGCGAGAGCGGATGAGCTTCTGCTGCCTCGAGTCTTGACGCCATATGCATATATCTGTATGTACATGCATGCGGGAGGGGGAGGAGGAGGGGACGGGATTATGAGGTCCACCGATATACAGATGAACGGCGCAGGCAGCTTTCAGTGTTGACATCCGAGGTCGTATGAGAAGCGTCAGGTTGGTTGCCGACGGATGTCTGCGTGGCGGGTAAGAAAGGCACTCACTGGCTATGCGCTTTTCCCCCATCTTTTTCCCACCACCGACATACATAGAGGACGGCACATCCGCGCTTAAGACCGAGCAGAGACGGGTGGATACTGCCATCATTTCTGGGGCTTGGAAGTGTAGGAAATGTATGGAAGTGATAAGATGGGCCTTCGGGGACGGGCACACGGGCTGGGCATCAAAACACATACTACTCCATACACTATGCAGATACAACCCCGCGTTATCTCCGCCCACCCCGCAAGGCCCGGTTAGCGCACTCGGCTTCGTTCTCTCCAGCGTGCGTTACCTGACCTATGGTTGGCTATGCAGCTTTATGTGGCCTAGAACATCGCTAGGCCAGCCACAGCATCCACTCGCAGTCTCCCCAACCTGCAGCTCGGCTGATGTTTCGCCCTATCCCACTCAGTTCCCCGACTACATTGTCCGTCTCCTGGCATTCTCGTAGTACGGAGGGATTGCGAAGCAGGCATGACACCACAAAGATCGATACAAGTAGGTAAAGAGAGAGAGAGAGAGAGAGAGAGAGAGAAACTCCAGCCTTTACCCGCTGTCCCCCAACCACCCAGTGCGGGTTGGTCGTAGACACCCTAGAATCAAGACAATTTCCCCACGAATTGGCTCACCCCATCCCTGCATATGTCATGGCCCCTTCAGAGATGATTGCGAAAACCTAATAGGACAGTTTCTATGGGTTAGTATGTATCAATTGTTGCGTGAGTGGCAAAACGGGGATCAGCCTGAACAGGAGCAAGAGTTTTCAAACATAGCTGTCTCTAGTCTAGCCCGCAATCTTCGTCTGTTGTCGTCGAGTTTTCGTCTGCTCTTATACTCTTCTTCTTCATCTCCGTCGTCTATCTTACGTCTCTTGTGCGTTCTTTGTTGGTTTACTCTAGATCATCCATCGTCTATCCGTCTACGCTGTCATGTCAGATCGTCCTTGTCTAATGCTTTTTCCTAGTCGACATCGCCGTCTGTGTCAAATGCACCAATGATATCCAGTTTCAAGCCCTGTTCTTTGCATGCTTCTTTGATCTCTGGGGAAACCCCGTTGTCGCCCTCTACCACCACCAACGTCTTCCATGACTTGGCGACAACGCCCTTGGTCTGAACTGTGTATAGCAGGAGTTCTGTCACCTCCTCGTCCGTACCCAGCTCGTTGAAGAATTCCAAAGTTTCTATGTCGGGTGGCAGTCCGACTGAATGCATGCGTGGTTTCTTAGTCGTTTGCCCGAAAAGCTGGTAGTCCCAATTCATGCGCATCGTCTTGAGCGCCTCAAACTCTCTCATTCTCAACGGTTTACGACAGCCAAGTGTCGGTGAGTCGATGGTCAACGTCTTCAGAGAATGTGCTTGCGATGTGAGCGCGAGGACGTAGTCGGCGAAGTTGTCAGAACTGTCCTCAAGCTCTGGCCTCGGTTCCGGGGTTTGCGTCATGACAAATTCCTCCAGCCCCTCGGGAAATTCGAGAAGATCCGATAGCCCATCATCGTTGATATCGCACTCGATGAAATGTAATTTTTTCAACGCTGTCTCGTGCGGGCGCTCCATAAAGTCGAATCCTTTCTCATCGAGTCTGGCTCTTTTGATTATGAGAGTCTCCAATGTCGGGTGAGCAAAGATGTGGATGTTTTCCCGCAGGTTCCAATACGCGTCTTCGGGGCATTGGTAAAAGAGCGTACACTCCTTGAGGTAAGCCAAGTCGAAGGGTCCGTTGAACAAAGTTCCTATACCATGCAATAGGACGTCCGGAACAGCAATGTCGAGTTTCTCCAGATTTGACATGACAGAGAGTGTGCGCGAGAGCGTGTCGGAACGCGAGGGGTCGTAGTGAGAGTTATGGACGGGACCATCCAAAGCAAGGCGCGACAGCTCCTCGTTAGGGTAAACCAATTTCACCTCATTGATGGCCGAGCCGCGGCGTGGTCGACGGCCTAGTGACTCACTGAAAGTAAGATGAAGCTCCGGGCTCTGGAAGTGAACGCTCTTATACAAGACGGCATCGGCCAGTCTGTGGTATCGTTTGTTCAATCGCGACACATTGCAGAGGTCTTTTTGGGAGAGCTGGCGGAGCGTCTCAAAGAGAAGCTCCTCAGGTAAGGCGGCCAGGCGGTCGCGTTTAACGTCCTGGCCGTTGGCGTCGCCATCAGGGAAAAGAAGCATAATCGCTACTGATGAACATGAATTCAAGGGTCTGGCCTCGGTGGAGTGGTCTTATCTTGGTATCGTGGAGATCCTCACCCGACAGGACCTTGCGGGGACAGCGGGGCTACGTTGGCTTGTTGGTGAGCGGAGAATGCAAAAAAGAGCGGTAAAATAAGCGATTGCGCCCGAAGAAAAAGAAGGGAGAAAATCTGCCAAAAAGACGCGAAGAAAAATTATGTAACAGGCCACAGAGCCCAAGTATTTGCCTTATTCGACGGATCGGTGACGAAGGTGCGTGGAATGTTTGAAGTATGGAGTTGGATTTCAGCTGCAACCATCGTCGTAAGGTGGCCACTGCAACCAACGCACGGCCACTGTGGCTGGGGCGCATGTGTCATCCACCCTCTCTCTTTCCGGGAGCGGAACGCACCTGTGCCGAAGGTGATGGGCCCATCGACCGGGATCGGCTCCGATGCCGTCTCCACTGAGGTCCGGATCTGAAACGGGGATCGGTGTCGGTAGTGTCAACTCTGGAACTCCTTGCAGAAGACACACGCATTGCCAGCGCTTGGACTTGGAATCAATGCCTCTGAAAATACACCAGACTTTGAAGAGCGTCCAATTACACAAGATTAGCTGTCATGCTGTTTGCTGCAAAATGGACCGGCATCTTGGGGTTGATACCCCGCATGGACCCCGCACCGGTGCCGCATGAGGCCGAGGTCAAACATCTCATCTCTGGAGCTCGCTCTAGAGATATGTATCATTAGACTGAGATTATGGGACCTCATTGCCGTCAACCGCGCCGCCAAACACGTTTTCCTAATTATCTTGGGGGCAGACACACCGAGTATACCATTATGTGCAATAAGCACCAAGTGGCTCGTAACATGTGATTTCTCGAAATAAGCCCCGGAGGACCTTGTTGTCGATTAGCCCTTTTCTGTAGGAACCTGTATTGGATTGATTTGAGCCTTGAGTTACAGCTTTCTTGTTATTGCGGAAACACGAGCATGTTTACAGCATAGTGCTGAGGTGCATAAATCACCACTCCGATGCCGAAGTATTCGGTGCTGGTCCTCTTCCAACCCTACCTCCCCCCCTCTCTCTCTCTCTCTGAAAACGTCGGATTTGATCAATGATACCGCAACGTCCTCTTGGGAAACGGAACAAAAGTTCCGATTCCTAACAGGGTGCAGCATGAGATCAGCCCGTCCGATGCCAGATCCGAACGTTGCACTCATTACCGACTTGAGATCATGATAGATGTTGTAGTGTGAAATTATTTCAATATATTCATGACCAAGATGGGCTTCTCGCGAAGCCAATTTACGTTCCTCTCGAGTCAGAAATGCTCCAATGCCATCGGCTCCTTGACTCGGTGTTTGGACATCCAGCGGAAGGCATGTTGAAACAAACTACCGAATCGACTCGGTGAGAGAGATAGGTAGCCAAAGACGTCCCCTCGTAAGGTCGTACGGTTACATGATGATGCGATAACATAGTCCATTCGCCCCGGTTTTTGGTCAGTCAACACCACCCCGCACGCAAGTGACGTCTCCTGTGGACTGTTGCGGTTGCACCAGGGCGTTCTGTTGGTGATAAGCGCTGCGCCAAGTTCGACATGCATTTTGTATCATGCCAGACGAGAAAGAGACCCCTCTCCGAAGGTGCAACCCTGATTTCGGCGGCTTTATGCTTGTGAGCAACGCAGGCCAAGGGTAATTATGCATGTACACCACGACATTCACATATGAAAGGTGATAAAAAGCGACTGACTGTCATCACGTAGTAAAAAAGCGCTACAGATTTAGTTTCACTTTTGATCACAGACTTCTTTCCGCCTGCTAACAACTCGTCGAAACCGCAAAGTTTGCCCATAGTCAGTTGTCTCGGCCCAGCTCATCATGACCTTTCCCATGCATTCGAAAGAGGCTGTTATTGGCGGTAGCGAAACAATTCCCTGGCACAAGGACAATCTTCCCAAGCAGCTGTTTATCAATAACGAGGTAAGTCGGTCGAAGAATTCGAGAGAAGAGCATCAAAATTAAGTGATAATCATAGTATGTCGATTCGAAGAACAGTAAGAAACTGGAAGTGTTCAACCCAAAGGACGAGTCCCCTGTTGCCAACGATGTCGCGTTGGGTGGACAGGAGGACGTGGACGCCGCGGTGGCAGCTGCGGAGGCTGCCTTCCCCAAATGGAAGAAGACACCCCCAAGCGTTAGGCGAGACATCATGCTCAAGTTTGCCAGCTTGCTCGAACAGAACAGCAAGGCCCTGGCAGATCTGACACGGATCACACTTGGAGCCCCCTGGGGCTCGATGGGCTCAATGGAGACGAACCTTGCCTGCGAGAGCTTCAAATACTTTGCAGGCTGGACCGATAAGTTCTCCGGCGAAACGTATCCACAGGAAGATGGTAAGACAGCATCTGCCGATTTGTATTCCCCCCCAATGCAGATGGAAGAACCCAGGCTGAGTGAGGAAGACGAACCGGATGACTGACACCCACCTCAAGGTTTCCTGAAGATCGTTCGCAATGAGCCACTAGGCGTATGTTGCGGAATAATCCCCTGGAATGGCCCTATGGGCAATATCGGCATGAAGGTCAGGGTTCAGTCCGTGTGCCTACACGGCCCCAGACTAACGTCGAATACAGGCAGGTCCTGCACTCGCCACTGGAAACTGCTTCATCTTGAAGCCGTCGGAGAAGACGCCCTTCGCTGCGTTAGCGCTGGGCACCCTTATTCAACAGGCCGGTTTCCCTCCCGGTGTGTTCCAAGTCGTGTCGGGCGACGGAAGCACAGGGGCCATGTTTGCGCAGCACATGAGGGTTCGCAAGGTCAGCTTCACAGGGTCCACGGCTACTGGGCGTAAGATCCAAGAGATGGCGGCAAAGAGCAACCTCAAGCGAGTGACGCTCGAACTTGGCGGCAAGTCCCCTGCGGTTGTGTTCAAGGATTGCAACCTCGAGAACGCCATCAATTGGTGCGCCAACGCAATTACGGTGAACACGGGCCAAGTCTGCTTCTCTGCCAGTCGGGTCTATGTCGAGGCGCCCATCTATGACGAGTTCGTCGCAGGGTACAAGAAGGCGATGGAGGAGAAGATCAAGGGCGTGGGCGACCCAGATGCTGAAGGGACCTTGATCGGCCCGCTTGTTGACAAGGCCCAGTTTGACAGAGTGCGGGGCTACATAGAGCGCGGCCAGCAAGGGCAAGGCACGCTGCTCGTTGGCGGAGGGCGTATTGGCGATAAGGTGAGAAGCGGCCCCGACGTGGTGTTGCAGCGTCCGGGCGAGGGGCGAGAGAGACGCTGACAGCCTTCCAGGGGTACTACATCCAGCCGACCGTGTTCGAGGGTGTGTCGCAAGACGCCGAGATCTGTCGACAAGAGATTTTCGGGCCCGTGTCGGTGGTCAACAAATTCGATAACGAGGAGGAGATAATTGAAAAGGCCAACGACACCAACTTCGGACTGATGGCCGGCATCTTCAGCCAAGACATCAACCGATGCTTGAGAGTCGCGGCCGAGCTGGACAGCGGCATGGTGGGCATAAACTGCATCAGCCTCTGTTTCCTGACAGCGCCTTTCGGCGGCAGTAAGGAGAGCGGCCAGGGTCGGGAGAACGCCATCAACGCGCTGCGGATGTTCACGGAGCCGAAGACTGTCATGGTGAACCTCACGTACTGAGAGGCGAACCGACTGTGGAGGAACGTAGATCGAACGTGAATGGTTGGCTGTTAGCAGATTTCCTATACGAGTATTGCGAACGAATGTGGCCTCAAGCCGTGATCCATCCATCATACCATCTTCTCACTGGTTTGAAACCCTTCCCGTCATCAAATGCGCCCCTCCGTCGACCCGAATGACCACGCAATTTCCGCGGATGGAATCCAGTATCGGCTTGCCGCGGTAGTCTTCACCCAAGACAGTCAGGCTGGCTACTAACAAGTATTTTGCCGCGGGGGCCAGTCTTGTCGGCCGTCGAGGCACAGGCCGACTGGATACTAAATACTATCAACAGATACAAGACCACCAACACCGCCGAGCTCGTCCCAAAGGAAGACGTGGTCCATGAATTTTTAGGATACAAGGAGCTGTTCATGGACAAAACAGACTAGTCGGACACGTATCGGTCGTGGTATCAACCCGGGAGTCGACAGACATGTCGTGACCTTATGACCAGGCTCAGTATTGAATCATATTGCGGCCATCGAAGAAGTCAGAGTGGGGTGTTCTCCATGCTAAATAAGCCAGCAAACGTTTCGCAGGGTTGGGAAACAGTTATTTGTTTACAGAGCTTGATGACATGGCTGACTGGGCGTACTATATACGGGGCAAGCACGATGATTTGCCGCCCACGACAGCCGGGAAGCGAAGGCTGCGCACCAAGAGTGGCACTGTTAAAGGCAGAAATCTTGTGTTCTATGGCATATAGCAGCATATGCGATAAGACTAAAGAACATGAGCAATGCAAGGCTGTGGCTATGCTTTAATGTATTTCTCAGCCTCTTTCATTCACCTTTGATTCGCACTTATTGGCGGTCCAAATATGAGTACAGTTCATAGAAGGTAGTAAAGCAGGTAAAGCAGTGTCCTAACTTTGTTTGCTATATAAGCAGGGCTTTCATATTGTAAATGCCAACTAAAATGTGTCAAGAGAAAAGCCAAGTGCGCTTGTCTCAACAACTTCGTGGCGCAGGACGGAAAAGATGCGGCTCATGGATTTGGACAGCATGTCTCATGTCTTGTTGCCTCCTGCATCTTGTTCCAAGATTTCTGATATACTATATATTTAGTATTATTGAAGATGTCGGCCACATACGACCATACCCACTGGAGAACTCAGGATCCCGTCCGCTCTCCCATAGATAAGCCAGTGAGGGCTGGATTAGTAGTTGAGTCGGTGACGATCAGCGAATCCCCGGTGTTGTATGTTTTTTGCTCCCTTTCAAAGAAACGTGTCTCTCACAATACAATATAAACCATCTTACCGAACAGAACAACCACATACGACCATACCTACTGGAAAACTCGGGATCCCGTCCGCTCTCCCATAGATAAGCCAGTAAGGGCCGGATTAGTAGTTGGGTCGGTGACGACCAGCGAATACTTGGTGTTGTATGTCTTTTTGTTTTTATGGATCATAAAAACCTCCCTCAAACGCGTGAAGAATTGGTCTCATAAGCCTTTGAGGCCCAGACCACTTGCAGATGAAACAAGCCATGATCTACTGAGCATCTCGTACGTGAATCAGTCTTACAATGTTCAGAAGCAGTCCCTTTTAAGTACCTGCTTAGAGATGGCCACAACTACTGCATTCAACAAGAAGGATTGGCTTCATCAGCGCCGATTCGCTCACAAACACCACCTTACCTGCCCCAGGCTCACAAGTGGGAACTAGAGAGCACCAGCAAAGACAAGGCGAGAACTAGCAACGGCCATGCAACGTCCAGCAAGTGGAATGGAGAGTGGGTATTCATCAAAATCATGACAATGTAATTAGGCATTAGGGGCCACCTTGGCTTGCGCCACTGCCTCTGCTTCTACTTCGGCATCTTCTCTGGCTTTTTCAAAATCCGGCATTACCTTTGGCTGGTTCCCCAGGGCCACTGTAACTGTGTTAGTGGCAGTTTCCATGAGACCGAGGCGAAGGCGGTACTTACATCTGTCAAAGAGGTAGTAGGAGGTGACGAGCAGAATGGGCATGGCGACCATGGCCGAGGTCCACTTCCTTGCTGCCGTTCCGTACGCCTTACGGTATTCCTTGCTGTTCGGGCTCAGCTTCGGGCGGACCTCGGCCTCCGGCACACGGGGCGGGGACGGGGAAGGGGCAGGAGATATAGGAGTAATAGGCTGAGTCGGTCTCGGTGCGCTCGCTGGTGTCGATGTTGCTGTCGTTGCCGCAGGGCTTGTGGTAGGCGCAGAGCTTGGGACAGGGGTGGACGTCTTCGGGGCGGCGGCGGAAGCGACAACGGTAGCGGCCTTGTTCAGGGTCGTCTTCTTGGCCGTTGCCGGGGTGACGGTTTTTGTGGCAGTTGTAGAAGCAGCAGTCTTTTTTACAATCCTTGTGACTTTGGGGGTTGTACTCGAAGCGGCGACGGGAGTCGTCTTCGCAGTCGTGGTGGCCTTGGTCGAGCTTGTCTTGGACGCAGCAGCGGTGGCTGTGGTGGTCTTCTTGCTTGCAGCGGTGGAGGTGCTGACGTTCTTCTTCGTGGCGGCGGTGGTGGTTGCATTTGTCTTCTTTACAGCCGCGGTGGCTTTCAGGGTGGTGACAGTGGCAGAGGCAGTCGTCGTCTTTGCGGCGCGAGTCGCATAGCATCGCAAGGCGAAGGACCCCGCGCGGCTGGGTGCTGCTGTCCGAGTGGACGATACCGCGCGCCAGCTACTGCTCGTAAGAGCTCGGGATAGGCCCATTGTATTCATGGCTGGTGGTGTATGTCCTGTGGTTGAAGATGCAAAAAACAATCAACGGGTCAGATGCTTCAACAACAGCTGGAATCGTGGGTGAAGCTCGCAACAGGATGAGTTTTTTGCTTCAATAAACGTAGAACAGTCATATCGCCCGTTGTGGAAGGTGGCGGGCAGGGATGTCTGTCGATGTGCGCTGTCAACAGACAAACTTGTGGGAGGTAGAATGCGACTTTGTCCTGGCCGACAGCGCGTTCGCGTCGCGATGGTTTATGCGCTGGAAATTGCCATGTCATGTCATGTCTGTCATGCCATATCGTGTGGGTGGGGTTGGTTCGGGCAGTTCGTCGGTCCCCACCTGGCAGCGGCCTTGGCCAATTGGCAACGGGTGGTTGAACGGTTCGTTGGTTCCGTCAATGTTTCTCCAGTTTCTCCAGTTCGATGCGGCGGCACAGCTCCAACTAAGCTGCTTAATGCTTGAGGATTCGTACCACGACCAACTCGTTACTCGATTGACTCGAGCACTCACGTGCTCTGTGTTTCAAGGGGAGGGTGAGCTATCTCCTGTAAGGTAGGGTTGGTTGCATTAGGCATCCCGGAGTGAGTAAGAAACCCGGCATTCGACGAGAAACAAATCGAGAAATCCGAGTCGCATACCTGTACAAAGAAACTTACGACGCCCCAAGCGTGTGGGCTGATCAGCGCCGGCCAGTACGGCAGCCGTGGTCGTGTCTGAGGCGTCGTCAGTCTGTTTGGGCCAATGCAGGCTGTGAGAATGTCTGTCCAACCGGGAGCCCAGTGGTTCTCAATGGATGTGTTCTGCCGTCTATGCCATATTACATACATACTAGCTAGCAATCAGGGCCACCAGGTGGAACACGCACCCGTTGCTCGGTCATTATTTGCCCTGGCCGAACAGGGCTTCAGAAATGGGCGACCTTGGATGCGCGAAGAGCCCGACATCATCTTGAGCGGGTGGGGAACGCATGTCGTTAAATCGGATTCGAATGAAAACAAAAATGGCCGCTTGCAACAAGGTTGGCGCGGGATGCCAGAAGTGGTGGTGCGGTCGGCCTCGCCCGCCGGGTGCCTCTAGGAAGTTGGCCGTCAAAACCCTGATTCACACTGGGATGCGGAAATTCAAGCGCACCGTAGGGAAGCCCGGAAGTGCGCTGCAGAGGAGGAAACCGAAGAGTCTCATTTTCATGGAAATTCGACCAAAGAACCTCCCAGGGCATTCCCAAGTGGGATGTGTGACAATGCTACAGAGTCGAAGTGCCCCTTCTCTTCGCAAGCGTGCAGGGCGATGATTACTACTACCGGTAACTGGTTGCTGGATTAGTTGGGGATGAAGCCACAACCAGGACGATCGATGGCTGGAAATCCGTCTCAGTGGCCAAATCACATCCGCCAACGCCAATTGGTGCGTCCGTCGGACGCTGCAGGGCCTCACCCTTCTGTTTTGCACAATTGAACGTTGTTAACCAAACAGAGAATTGGAGAAAATACCAAGCGGCGCAGCGGGACATACAGCTTGCCTCCTTGCCGGGCAGAACCCCGCTCGCGCACGTGAGACATTGCTTCGTCCGGTTTGTTCATAATGGCCTGACTATCAGCAGATTGTCGTAGCAGCGAGATGCAAGCATCCATGCCGGCGAGGAGTCGCTGAAGCGGCCTTTTCCCCTACGACGGCATACGCTGTTGGGCTCGTAGCTCGTGCTGTCAGCCTATCGAGCTGCAAAGACACACGAGCGGGGGAAGACAGTGCCAGGGAAAGGTGAGGACATGATGCAAGTTTAACTGCTTTGTTTATTTGATTGTTTGCATGCCTGCTGCTGTTTCTTCTACGAGATATCAAATGCATCCCCCACTGTATCTCTAGAGCCAGATGTGGTATCATGCCTCAGCCACCCACCTCCCGCGTGCATGTCGACAGTCCCATTCCATACCTCGACCAAGGGCTTACTTGGGGACGTTGAACCGCTCGATGCCGTTCTTGATACGTTTGTCGAGGCCCTTGGCAATGCGCTCAAGGGGCAGCCGGTTGTCGATACGACGAACCATGTTAGATACGGGAGGCTCGACACGTTTGATGCCCCTCTCGGCGGCCGGTGTGAAGTAGGAGAGATTTCGCTCCCAGCGAGGGGCCCATTTTGTTGTCTGAGAGGCGAGGCGCTGCTCGGCACCGGGAAGCATGAGGTAGATGGGAAGGAAGGCGCCGACCGTGGCAACCCCGTAGCAAAGGGTCTCAGTGGACTTGGCGGCTGGGATACGAGGGGCCATTTTAAATCTTCTAAAGGGGAACAGCGTGTTAATATCACTATATGAACGCGTACGGTGCTGGTGATGTTGGTTGTTTGGATGGCCAATGACCGCCTGGGATTGATGGTCGGACAATGAAGAATAGATCAGGTCATACCTTTGGTTGTGGAATACTAGTAGTATGAGTGAAATGGTCGTCGGAGTAGTCTATCGACGTATGGGAGCCGAGTTTGTTAATTCGAGTGTTCGACTCTGACTTCAAGTGCGCAGCTCTAGCTGATGAAGTAGGTCGCAGAACGGACTTTGATGGGGGATGGGATGATGTGATGAAAGGTTGAGAAGACAGGTTACACGAACCCTAAAGGTCGCGGATGAGGAGGCAGACGGCCTCTTCTTAAAGGGACCTCTGGCTCAGGGGCAGTGCCTCGAAGTTGCTGTTGACCTGAGCGTGCGGGGTAAGACAGATCATCACGCGGACGGGCGTCCAATACGCCGCATCCCATATCCAGGAGGGCGATTTGGCTGGAAAGGGATTGGAGACGAGAGAGGGGAGGGGGGGGGGGATGTACCTAAGGCACGGGGGAGGGGGGCCGAGGAAGGTCAGACCAAGAGGAGCCATACAAACACACGCAACTCGCACGCGAAAGCAATAGTGAATCTTGGGGGGGGAAGCAAGACAAGAGACATAAGAGGCGGAGGGAGGATGGGTGGGAGACCAAGCGCCCGGTGCAACGCTACGACGTGGAAGGGTGGGCAGATGTGTGACGCAAGAATGGGCAGGTCTAGCACCGATCAGGGGTTCAACGTAAAGACATTACCTAGAGCAACGACGAATCTTGTGAGAACATATACCACATGTGAAGCACAGAAACAAATATGGTCTTATGTATCAGGCTGTCTAGGAGCAAAAGTAAGCAGGCAAGACAGAGAATGATGAGGGTATCCCCGAACCCGAACTGGCTGTTGCGTGTTTCCCCAAAACCAATGTTACAACACACACGCAAAGTACCTCTGCTGAGAGCGAAGGGGGAGGGGGACATGAGGCCACCCCACGCGAGCCATCAGGGTCATGCCATGCTTATGCCTCTCGTTCAAGTCGAGAGACGGTGTTTGCATAGAAGGCACACAGGCCGGAAGCTAGCATGTTGCCATTTGGTGGCGATGTGAGTCGAAACCACATGGTACTTGTACGTGTCGGTGTGTCGAGGTGAGCAGGGACGATGCTCGCTGAGAGGGAGGGGGGACTGGACTTGCAGCAGCGTGTGGGGTGATTCGCGGGGGACCCGCACTGAAACCCACTTCCCCAGACGCTGTGATTCCGGGGAAAACCAACGCTAGAGCTCGCCCGCCGGCGCCCGCACGCACAGGAACACTAAGTACCTGGGTACTGCCCCTCATGGACACGATACCTACCCGCCCCTCCCGCCCCGGCACCAGCACATCGCCAAGGGCACAGGTCGACAACCACCACTCCCAGCGACTGTCATGTATGTACCTACTCAGCGAGGTAGCTGACGCCCGACCTGTCTGCGCTGTCAATCAATGTCTTGATGACTTTGCAGCAAGAATGCCTAGCAAGACAGGGTCGGGCTGCCTTGTACACCCCGGTTCGGTGACTGCAGTATCCGGATTCATGACGAACATTCACCATGCTGGATTATGAGTCGGCCAGGCACGCGACTATCATGTTTCCACTCACCACCGCCGCTCAGCATCGAGCGACCCTAATTATTCAAAGGGGCGCGGCAGAAAATGTCTGTCCTTTTGGGGGGGGGGCGGTACATGGTGCAAGGTACCCGGTGGTGGGTCCGGGTACGATCTGGTACATCCGATCATGTAACGTACCCAAGTATCCGTACCGAAGCCCTCATTGCCGAATAGGGTCAAGCGGCGTGGCAGCCCCAGAGTCTACCGAAAGCTCCGTTGACCATGTTCATCAAGTGCATCACGGTGCCAGTAGTTGTTTTTCAAGGCTCTCACATGGAGGATATATCTATCCTCTAGGTAGGTAGGTAGGTAGGTAAGTGGGTGGGTAATGAAGGCATGATATGACGCCTTGCCAGGCCCTACAATCTAACGTTCCTCCCACTCGATATGTCGCTTCTGTCATTGGGGGCTTGGCAATATCGATTCGGTCTCTCCCTCTCATCATGGTTCACAGGTCAACAATGTATCTTCGCAGCTAAAGGGCTCGCAGGGTAATTCATCAGCGGCACTTCAGTCGCCCTCGCTTATCTGAAGGGTATCTATCTGCTTCCAGATGCTCGAGCCTGGCCGTTTTAAACCTGCTACCCGCACACATACACAAACACACAAGGCAACATGCAATACGAAACGAACTTGCACTGTTTCTTCAGGGTATCCAACAACCACAGTAACAACAACAATAACGACAATAATAACAACAACAAGAACAACAACAGCAGCAGCAGCAGCAGCAGCAGCACTCGTTATCGCGCCATACACGCCCCCGTATTTACATCCTCATGCCGCTACCCTAGCGGTGGGTACACATACGAAGCTCCCGACCTGCAATCTGTTACAGTCCAGTCCCTCATTCGCCTTGACTAGCTCCTCAACGCTAATCTTCTGCCCCGTCGCGATGGCCCAGCACGTGTTTCCATGCTCTATTTTGTACGGCGCAGCCTGCTGTCCGCACTCGGGCGCAACTTCGGTTTCGCTGGGCGTGCGGTACAGCCACCAAGTCAACACGAGCAGGAACAGCCCGATGATGACAAAGAAGTTGAGGAGCGGCCTCATCTCTTGCCTCCACGACTTTTTCTCGGCCCACAGTTGTTGCTGTCGGCTGCCAGCGCCGCTGTCGGAGTTCGGGATGAAGGGGTCATATTCGGCATCCTCAGCCGGCCCGGACGTCGCGCCGGATACCTGCGTCAGCTGTCCGTATTGCTGGCCTGGAGCGCCCTCCCAGTAGCTCCCATCGGTATCTTGGTACGTGTAAACCTGTGTGTCGGCGTCGTAGCCCACGCGGCGCATGCCGTGCGGGAGCCGTTCCTCGTCCGTGTCGAGATGGGAGAAGCGGGACATGTCGATGGTTGGGACGCTTGAATCCTGCGTAGGGTTGATCGAGAATGATGCGTTCGAAGAATGAATACACGGCCAATCAAGAGGGGCCTCGGGGGGTGTTAAACACGTCTCCGCGTGGGTGGAAAATTCATGAGAAAGAGTTGAGCGCAAAATAAAAATAAAAATGATGGTAACAAGCACCAGATGGATGGCGATGGTCCGATGGATAATTACCAGACCAAGCCCCTGAGGCTGTGCAATGTAAGTCACGTCATTGGCTGTCGGCTTATGTCATCATGGCCCGCCCTGACGACCTACTATATACATCGTAGGTAGGTATTGAGGTGCCCTGTACAGTACCTGAAGGCCTGGTCAAGGCTGGTCAGAGTTGCCAACATTCGGCATTCGACAGCGCAGAAACCTTCAGAATCTTACTATGGCTTCCGGTCTTGCTTGGCTCCACTTTTGGTAATGTAGGCGACGTGTGTCGCGAACTACTGAGGCATGCCTTACTTCTAGAAACAGTGCAAATGTCTTTCTTTCCTGGTTCCACTTTCTCCATCTTTCAGTTTCCCCTCAGCTCTCTCTCTACTCTTGTCTCCTTCGATCGCGGCATGATCACTATTCTAGAGAAAAGAGAGACAAAGAGAGAAGAGCAAAGATGTTGACTGGGTCTAGTAATTATCCCATCCCTAATGGCCTGTATTTTCAACTGATCTCGAAATTGAGAGATACGATATGCTATGGTTTGTCTGAGCTCATGAAAGCGGCAGGGCATACCTAGGTAGCCTACCTATTGCGGCTGTTATCCGTTGGCGGCGTTGGTGGTAACCGTGTTCGAATGCGGCATGCGGCGAGTCATGCTCCGTCGTCACAGCCCCTAGACCTCGATGCGGAAATTACACCGCGAAAGCCAGCCGAGTTTGTTGACCATTTGGCCAGGAAGTGCCCTGTCACTAACATCATTCTCGTTGTTTACTGCCCGTCTTGGTCGCTAAATATTGATGTGGCGGCTGCTGGTAGAGGCTTCATTCGGTCAACGGCTTGCATGACACAACAACACAACCGCAAAATGGTGTGTCAGCAGGCTTTGCGACCGTAGATCACAGCTGCTTCTAATGCCCAAAAATCCCATCAGGAATAGACTAGATCCCATATACAATATACAATATAATACAATACAATACAATACAATACAATACAATATAGAAACTACGCTGCCCCCTCCCACTGGACCACCTGCGCACCCATCACTAGATCTTAACTTCTTACCTGCGCCGTGCTCGTGGTCCTGCTGCCTCCGCATGCCCCTTCCCGGATACCACCCTTTCGACGGTATAGCGACCCCAGCTAGCCGATCCAAGTATCCAGACTGTCAGCCACGCCATGGGGAAGCGCGACGCCGTGAGATGTCATTGATGGAATCTGAGCAAGGCTGTCCCACCCAAGACGACATTGGGAAGCGGAGTCTGGTCGGAGTACAAAACAGCCATCATCCCACCTGTATGTACCATGATGTTGAGATGATTCATCCTCTCAGCACAAGATCGCAAAACCCAAGATGAAAGTTGCGACTTCTAGTATCCTTGCCTTTGCGGCCGCTGCGTCTGCACAGGCGCCATTGTGGGGACAATGTGGTGGCCAAGGGTGGCCTGGGCCTACGACCTGCGTGGCTGGCTCGGTTTGCACTTACAACAATCCTTGGCACTCGCAGTGCCTTCCCGGTATGTCCACCATCGACACCTCATGTTCCTTATACTAAGAAGACACAGGTGCCGCCGTGACAACGGCCGTGTCAAGCTCCCTTACGACCTCTACCCGCTCCGCGTCGGCCTCTTCCGTCCAAGCCACATCCTCCCGGACCATTTCGGCAGCACTTCCCCCTAGCACCGGCTTTCCCTCGGTCAGCGGCACCAAATTCACCATTGATGGCGTAGCGAAGTACTACCCCGGCACCAACTGCTACTGGTGTAGCTTCCTGACCAACGCCTCTGATGTTGACCTTGTTCTCGGTCACCTCAAGACATCAGGTCTCAAGATTCTCCGCATTTGGGGTTTCAACGATGTCAATACCGTCCCGCAGTATGACAATTGTAAGTCTGGGGACTTTCCGCACCGATGACTTTAATCCAACGATTTCAAGGGTTTCAGCACCTGACGGCCTCGGGCTCGACCATCAACACAGGCGCCAACGGTCTTGGCCGCCTCGACACCGTTGTAGCATCAGCCGAGAACAACGGCATCAAGCTCATCATCAACTTTGTCAACAACTGGTGATTCTCAGTCAAACGCTTGTCGGACGAAACCATGTCTAACCGTATCCAGGGACGATTACGGCGGGATCAAGGCATACACCAGCGCTTTCGGTGGTGATCACAATGGATGGTACACCAACACGGCGGCCCAAACGCAGTACCGCAAGTACATCAGCGCTGTTGTCGGCCGGTACAAGAACTCCAGCGCCATCTTTGCATGGGAGCTGGCCAACGAGCCCCGCTGCCAGGGCTGCGATACCTCTGTCATCTACAACTGGGCCAAGTCGACATCGGAATACGTCAAGTCTTTGGACCCCAACCACCTGGTAACGCTCGGCGACGAGGGCATGGGGCTCCCGGGCGACACAACGTATCCCTATCAGTACGGAGAAGGCACTGATTGGCTGGAGCTGCTCAACATTTCAACCTTGTGAGACCCCGACTTTTGATCCCGCATACAAGGCTTTGTGACACTGACGTGCTTTGCGTCTCCCTCCAGGGACTTTGGAACCTTCCACTTCTACCCCAATTCATGTAGGGCTCCCCACCGCTAGCCAGGAGAACAGTAACTGATGCACAGATAAGGGGGGGTTGGCTATGATGCCGGCAACAAGTGGGTGACGGACCATGCCAAGGCATGCGTTGCTGCGAACAAGCCCTGCTTCTTTGAAGAATGTGAGTTCTCACCTATCGTCCTCATCAACAGGCACCATGCGAGATAACGGAGCTGATCGAATATGGCAATCCAGACGGCACACCTGCCAACCACTGCGAGCTGGAGAGACCATGGCAGCTTACCTCGGTGGCGACCCCTGGCATGGCTGGCGATGCCTTTTGGCAACTGGGCGACATCGTCAGCACCGGGCAGACGCACAACGACGGCAATACGATTTACTACGGCACTGATGAGTGGACGTGCCTGGTGACCGACCACGTCGAAGCCATCGGCTAGACGGCGTTGCTCGACTCATATTGTAGAGGAGGTTCGTTGGGGAGTGAGTGTATCAAAGTGGAATATATCATTGAAGACTCGAAAGAAAAAAGGATTCCCAGCGGAGAAAGTCGACATTTTTAACCGCCCAATCAGGGGGTTCGCCCAGTGAATGTACCCTGTATTTCGCAGTGAGGGCGGTACGTACCTTACGTACCTAGATATACGGATACCTACCGTAGGTATCTAGCCTACCTAAGAATCATGGATGCGTCATCCCGGAAAAATAATGTAGTCTTATCGATAAGGGGTAACCTCTCGAGCTCCCCCCCGGTCGTAGTTCATCTTTCTCGTCGCGGTCTACAACGCCCAGTTTCTCATTTACGCCAATCCCACAACGCGATTGACCATAATCAACACCATGGGATCCTCCTCGTCAAAGGCTGCGCAAGGCGCCGCACGCAAGTTTCCGACCCGCGCGCCCGGCGCCGTGCCACCCATCTCCGCCGCTGGGAGAGCAGCTCCGGCTCCCACCCCGTCACAGCCCGCGCAGGCCCGGCCGCAGGCAAAGGCGGCGACGCTCAAGACAGATGGTCAGTCGATCCCCGGCTGTATTTCTTCCCGTGTGTGCTGTTCTCTAATCGTCAGCCCCCGCCCAGACATCGCCGCCGACTCCGTCAACCCAGACAGCGTCACGGCCGAATTCTCCTCTCGTCTCCAACAGATGGGCATCGTCCAGCCAAACCCGACCTTCTCCCCTACTTCTACCGCCGGCCCGAGCCCTCACGCGGACTTGATCCAGAACCCCGGCCCCCTGTTCCCCTCATCGTCGCGGAACGCGACGTTGGGCACGCTGGAAGCGAGGAGTCGGTTCCAGAAGCAGGCCGATGACGAGTTCGACGGCTTGGGCCGGAGTAGCAGCGAGGGAAGAGAGTTCCTGGACCTCAAAACAATCGTGCAGATGCACCTGATGCGAGACAAGGGCTATTCGCCTGCAGAGATCGAGGAGAGGCTAAACTTGAAGAAGGGTGTCGTGGCCAGGCTAGGACGACCAGGCATCACATCCCCAGCCTAGGGTTTCAGCGCCGGACACGAATGCCCTTTAATGTTCGAGATGTAAGAAGGCGAAAAAAAATGTAGTGTATTATAGGTGTACTGCTCTACCAAAGCGCAACCCGTCAGACCCCGTAAAGTCTGTGTGCATAACGACCAATCAAGTAACGCCGACGCTCGCTCTTTTTTCCCTCCCACCGTTCACCACGCGCAGTGCCCGCCGTCGATGCGCAAGTCGCTACCCGTCATGAAGCTGCTGGCGTCGCTCAGCAGGAACACGGCGGCGCCGCGGTACTCTTCAGGCAGACTGAGCCTTCCGAGCATGTTGTGCTTCGGCCACTCGACCTTGCGCTCCGGGTACGTCTCGAAGAGCGCCTCGACCATGGCGGTGACGATATAGCCGGGCGAGATGGTGTTGACGCGGATGCCGTGGGCGCCCCATTCGGCCGCCAGGTTGCGTGCGAGTTGCAGGACCGCCGCCTTGGAAGCGTTGTATGCACTGCAAAGATATGTAATTAGCCTTTTTTTCGTCTTTTCTTTTTTTTGTTTCTTCGTTCTTCTCATCCCCCCCCCTTTTTGGCTAGACGAGCTGGGAAGTGAGGCACTCACGGGCAAATCAAACCCCTGTTGGCAACCGTGCCACTCATGCTGGCAATCAAGACGATGCTGCCGGTGGTGTTGAGCCTCACCATCTGCCGCGCGACCGCCTGCGCCGTCATGAAGGCGCCGGTGACGTTGACGCCCATCATCTTGTCGACATCCTCAGCCTTGTACTCGAGCGCGGGCGTCTCTTGTTGAATGCCGGCGGCGGCAATGAGGCCGTCCACACGGCCATGCTTGTTGGCGATTCCCTCAACGATTTCGTTAAGGGCCGGAACGTCACGTACGTCGACTTGGTGGTATGTCAACGAAGTCGCAAGCTCGGCGCTGGCCCGGAGGGCAACCTTCTCAAAGTCCGGGTCAGGCTGAGGGAGACGGTCGATTGCATGGACTAGTGCGTTGCTGTCAGCCTTATTCTTGGGGAGCGATTTGGGATGACGTGGCTTCAGGTAGCTCATGCGGAGAGGAGGGTTTGGCTAGTACCTATGGCGCCGGCTTCCAGGAGAGCTTCAGCTTGTGTGAGACCGAGCCCTCGCGCACCGCCGGAGACGACGATGACCTTGCCCTGGAGGCTGAACTCTGGGAGAACACGGGGGAGGGCCGGCGCTGTCATGTGAGGTGCGAGAGGCTTGGGGTTCGGGTGGAAGGCTTCGGGCTGGTGTGGGACAATGGGAGCCACGGGGGCGGCCATGGGCTGCACTGCGAGTCTGGATAGTTTCCCTTGGGTCAATTGAGGTCCTAGATGGAGTGGCCGAAGACGGGTCAAGTACCGTGACATTTTTTGCGGTTTCAAAGAAATCCGGATGCGCGTGCGAGATAGAGATGGAGAGAGAGAGAGAGAGAGAGAGAGAGAGAGAGCGGGAATGGAGACTGTCAGGAAAGGATATTCTCCAAGTCCAGTATATGTGTGGCTTCGATGGTGAGAGGTCGATGACGAAGGTGGTTAATCCCCAGGTATGGATAGGGCGGAATGGTATCGGTCCAAAGGCGTGTGGCCGGGAGGCGGATGTTGTTTGGGAGAGCCGGGTTGTTGCTGAGATGAGTGAAGATGGGTGAGGAGTAATGAAGAGTTTGTCGGGAGCAGAGAGCATCGTGGACTGATTCTTATATCTCATCGACTCGAGCTCTGCCGGGTAGAGCTTCCCCGCACCCGCAATTCCGCCTTCCATCCCTCCCTTCCCCCCTCATCCCCTCTTCATCCTCTTCCTCGTCCGGTGCCATATGCCAATTGCAGCACCGGCACCCCAAGCTTCACGGCAGTGCCTGCCACGCATCCGCAGCATCAGTTGCTAGCGCCGTTGCGACAAGGGGTGGTTGATGATTGGGCTGATCACCTGGTACGGTGCCGCGTCAAGGGCTTGGTTCAATCTGTCTCGATTTGGTAGTTGGGCGCCGATGTATCACTGCCGGTTCCCGGATGTGGACTGGTGACGAGATGTCGGGCTCGTTCGTGTCCGGCTGGTCTGCGGCAAAGGTCCTCCAACCCTCGCCTCATCTTTTCTTAGAAAACCCCATTGGCGTCCATAGGAGCTTTTTCCGATGCAACATGCAACGTGCAACGCGCAACATGCGGCCGCGTCGGTGTCCCGGGGTTGCGTGTGGCTCGGCGCACTAAATCGGGAAGCTAGAACATTCAAGAACATGGGCCGAGGGCTGTCCGCGACAGGTCACGCGGGATGCAGGATCTGAGATGCCCATGTTTCGCGTGTCTCCCGTTCTTCCAAAGGCTCCGGGAGAGCGGTCGGTGAGTGGCCCACGACGGGTGTTTAGCCTGATGGTCGCGCGGCGGAAACATGACCGGTGCCGTGGTGCGGAAAATCGGTTGGTTTACCGAAAGCTAGGTATGGAGTTTTCGAAACGGAAACGTGATTCGCTGGGCATCGTGTCTGAAAGAAAGGGGCGATGTAAGGACCCGTTTATTACTCTACACTAACCCAGACTAATCTCACCGTTGGGTCGGATATGCATTATCGGGACAAGCGGAGGGTTGGGTCCAAGAGCTGCAGTAACACTGCACTATGTATTGTTAATCGCAACCCTTGCTGCTGCGTCTCTGTGTGCCCGAGGGTCCAGAACCTAAACAAACTTCCGCCCCCAGAAGTCCAGACCAACAGGGCCAACATCGAGGTGGGGAAACGCATGGTCCCTCTTCCCCGGGGGCCGGGACCGGGGCAGAGGTGAGAAGGGGGCGAGAATGCGGAGTACGGATATATAGAGTGCAGAGTTACTTCGCGCATGCGAACACGGTCCACCGGTATCCCCATTTGGGCAATCCGAGATGCTCATCACTTCTCCACGTCGACGAAGCTTCAGCCAACCACCCGAGGGAATAGATACCCGGAGAACAAAGTCCAGGCAATACATAGTAAGTCCAGTCGTAGAGTGATGCAGGCGTGACGCCGCAAGGTCCTTCTCCGACTTTCCTGTGGCTCCCTATGAGGCACACAACGCGCAAGCCTACGAGTGTCTGATGTTGTCGTGGTTCTTGTGACTCGACCGAGCCTCCCGGCCAAGACCAGAAGACCACTTGTCCTCCAGCCTCTGCACCCCCGTGTCGCCCTCCCTGGCGATCCACTGTTGAACGCCCCAGAAGGCTTTGAGATACGATATCCCGAGCACGAAGTCCTCGAACCCGATCGCCAGCCCCGTGACGGCCATCTTCCTCCTAACGAACCTCCCCTTGGCGTCCGGTGCCGCGTTCGGGACCGCCACCAGCATGATCCAGAGGAAAACCCCCGGGATCCGCTTCCACGTTGTCATGCTTACGCTCGTCAGCGCCTGTTACGCAGCCTCGAGCGTCTCGTCGTCATCAAACCGCGATATCTGACGCATCGACTCGATGGACCAGCTGTAGATCAGGGCAGCAATCCGGATAGTCTCGAGAATCCATTCCTATTCCGACGAGATCGCCAGGCGTTCGAAGCTGCCCCTATCGCGCAGTCTACTACGTAGCCAGGATGCGGTGGTGCGAATTTTCGATTTGCAGCTCGCCGAGGCCGATGCTGAAGTGACGGAAACCGTGAGGAACCGTACATCGTCCAGAATCTTGGCAGCCGGCGCGCACAACCCAAGCTTCCCAGCGATGCTCTCGAATCGAGATGAGGACGCCAGCAGTGGGCTGTCGTAGCAGTCAGGCCACGTCGTCGGGACCGGAATTTCCTCGTCTCGGACCGGATCGCTCTCCAGCCAGTAGAGATCCGTCTCGAAGGCGCACGCAATCTCATAGTCGGTGCTGGCAAGTTTATGGTAAGTCGACTGTCAACTCCGAGCGTCGACCCGCGCTTACAGAATCATGATGGACTCGCCCACAACGTCCCCCAGACCACGCATGCCTTTCCGGAGCTCGATCATGCGCTTGATGCCTCTCATGTGGGCAAACATACTTTCGTCGGCGCCCCAGAACCACTGTAAAGGGCGTCAATGCGATGTTGACGACGAACCAGCCATAAGCTAGTGCCTTACCTCCATAACCACAAGATTCACGATGGACCGGACCATCTCAATCGCGATGGCGTCGAACGGGCGCTCCATGTAATCCGCTATGATGGACAACACCCGGGCTTTGAGAGCGAGGGATTCTGGGTTCTTGGAGATTTCCACTCCCTGCTCAAGTGACTGGGTCGTCGACGACATCAAAATGCCGATGTTAGGGAACAGAGGGGACTGCAGCATCCACGGTAAAACATCTGTGAGAAAGATTGGCGGCTGGCTCTGCCCGTCAATGGACACCAAGTTGGGTGCGACGACCTCGATATCTACGTTGGAGAGTCAGACTGAGTCGCTTCTCGGAGCGACCACCGCCTCGCTTACAAAAGTGAAGAAGCTCTGCTGTTCTGGAGCTTTCAGGAAGCGGCATCCCATGGAGAGTCGTCACCTCCGTGAGTATGCCACCAATGGTAGCGGGACTGCTGTGATAAAATGCCATCGGGTCGCCATTCCCATCGAGGAAGAGATTGGTATGGGCCTTCGCCTTCGCCTTGGCCAAGGCCTCAGCTTCATCTTCAAGGCGACTGGAGAAGTGCGTTCTTGATCCTCCGAGGCCATCAACACCAGCATCTTGTAATCTGGCCCTTGCTCTCTGGTGGTTTCGCACAGCCAGGGCCCCTGGTAGGGTCGTGGACATGAACGGTAGTAAAGCTTTCGAATAAAGGTCATGGAATGCAACCTCTGGCTGCTTTCCCGATCCTCTTGACAGCGAGGACAAGTCAAAAGTCAGAACCCGGTCCTCGTACACTGGCCTAGGGTTATAAGAGTCGGCCTGAATGATGGTACACTCCACAGGCGGGAAGCGCCTCGAGCAGTTTACGCATGGCGCGTCTGACTGCCGGATAATGCACTGCGGCCTCCTTAGCCCGTATCCGCCAGTGACCAGGTGATCTATATGGATGCGGTCACGGGGGGGCTTTCTTCGTTGCTTACCTTCTGCTTCCGTCTCTGGCACTCGGTGCACGACTTTTGGACTCTCATCCGCCGCTTCGACGGGGGCTTCGACGACTCTGCGGCCATGATGTTTGAGAATGCTTCTCGGCACAAGGTGGAAATCAAATGTTCTTACACTGCTGGCTTTATCCAAACCGATCTGAAAGGACGGGCTGCCTAGATCCGTCCTATGACCACTGACATGCCTGTGATTCAGACACGGCTGAGACATGGCATGCGCCAATTCAATTATGGAATAGTACAGTGTAATGGAAGAGTGAAGTTGATTCCGATCATCTATCTACCGACTTTGCGTGCGCGATTGGGTTATCCTTTAAACTTGGGTTTTCGTACTTCGGATTGATGCATTCATCAATTTTGCCCTTCACTCTCGCTCATCGATCATCGCTGCGCCAGTCCTGTAAGAATTAGCCCACTAGCTTGGACCTCCCGGCGTTAAATATTACTACTGCTACTACTACTACTACTACTACTACTACTACTACTACTGTAAGAATTGGTTGATCGGCACCTGGTCACTACATTTGGGGTCGGCCCGAGGGCTTAGTGCTTACCTGCGTCGACCGAGCAAAGATGGATATCGTGCAGCGTTGTTTCGAGAAGTTTCGAGAAAGGTTTCGAGAATATACACCCAGGCTACGCAGTTGGCTATTTCGTTCAACATCCTGACCTCTCCTCGTTGACGTATCCGATTGTCTCGACGACTTCGTTCCTATAAATGTTGTGCCCCCGCATCGCGACGCCCAACACCTTCATCTTCCATCATCACCAGCGGCGGCATCGTCATGAGTACTTCAAACAACGTCGATATCCCCGACCCCATACCTTCTTTAATCGACGGAAGCTGCCTTTGCGGCGCAGTCAAGTACACCATCGGAGAGGGGTATGGCCTCACGGTACTATGTCACTGCAACAGCTGCCGCAAGTTCACCGGCTCATCATTCGGGGCCAACAGCTTAATCGATAGAAAGGTACGTTCCTTTGGACTCCTGGAACCAAACTCAGCAGACGAAGGCTCATGCTAACCTCTTCGTCGGTCAGAACCTAACTGTGCAAGACCCCGGCTCCAACGTCTCGGTGTACAAGTCCCAGACCGCCGATTCCGGCGGGACGCTGGCCCGTTCTTTTTGCAGGTTATGCGGCTCCTCGCTCTTCGTTGCTACCCATGAGACTTCGGACAAAGTGGCTGTTACTTCAGGGACCATGAATGACGCTCAAGGCGTCGAGGGCGACAACTTGTGGACACCGAAGTTGGAGTTCTTCTGTAAAAGAAAAGCGACGTGGTTGGCAACCGAAGGTACGGTGCAAAAAGACACCATGTAATTGTACCAAGATGCCATGAACGGTCCGAAGAACATATAGGCATGTGTGAGGAGCAAGATGGCAGACACGGACAGCATGCTATACTATGGCCATCCAACCGCTCTCTGCTGCCAAGGCCACGATCAGGCGCTAGATGGTTTCAATGAGTGCCTCTGCATCGCAGTAAAGGTCAAGCGTCACCGAATATTCGGCAAGCTGTTGGCCAAGAACCTATACAATTGAGGAATTACTGAAACCAGAATGCTTGGAATTTCTGATGCATCGAACATAAAGGACAAGTAACTCTCATAGAGTTATCATTTTGTACCGCTACAATAAGCACCGATGAGGACCGGACAGTCTTCCTCAGTCCTGTTAACCCAAGCTTCATTCAAACCGGACCCGACCCTCTGCGTGATTCCCGCAACCGATTCAAGTCCTGCAGTGTACTTTTTGTCGACTTTAACTGTAGACTCAATTATTTTCCAGGTTGCGCCGTTTCCATATCAGCGGACTTCATCAACTGGAAATCCATTGGCCATGCATTTACACGCAAGAGGCCAGCATCGGACGTGTCATTAGAGCGACGATAGTATCTCCAAAGCACTCCATATCATGTGCAGTGGCAGCATGCCGCATCCCTGCGTCTCCCTTCCCCGGACCGAAGACAAGGAAACGCCTGGTTTGCCCCATGCCGAGTTCTAGCTAGGATATTGCCAGATAAACACTTGCATGGTTCACTGCCATTTGAAACGTCACGTGGATGGTAGACATCTACTATGTACATGGATAGAACCAAGCGGGGAGCCCCCAGATCCTGGGGCCGGACTATAGGTAGAGTTAATAGGTGTGACGCCATTCTGACCACCGCCTCTTCGGTCCATCCCACGTTTCCCCACGTTCCACGCGGGGAGTATGTGAAAGCCAAGACCCAGGCGAACGTCCGTTAGGTCCTCAGATGATCCCACCTGGTGGCGGAGCCAACAGCGAGGGGGCCTCCACTCACTCATCGGGAAACTCTATAGTGGAAAACAGGCATTTGTGGTCTGCTGAGAACTGGATTAACCTGTCAGATTATTGGCTTTCTGTCAACATGAGTGATAACACGCAACCTTCACGACCGGTCGCAGGGAAACGTCAAAGTAGTTTAAATTGCAGCCTTGGTTACCAGCTGTGTCCCTTCTTTCTTATGGTCAAGAAACCAATCAAATAAACACGCTGCAAATGTTCCAAACACCTTGGATCCACTAGACTGTGTATCGGAAAAAGGTGGCGTTGTCGCCCTTGTGACGCTCAGCGGCCTTCTCCTCGGCCGTGTACTGAGCAGGGTCTTTGTACTCGCGATCCCGGCGAGCATTCTCGCGGCGCAGGTAGATAGTCATGAAGATTGAAAGACACATGGACATGGTCAACGTCGACAAGAGCGTGCCATGGCCGGGGTAGTAGTGGGGCTTGTCCTTTGCCTGATAGAGGAAACCGGCGATGGCACCACCAAGGTTGCCGAAACCTGCAACTGTGTAAGCGGTTGAAACCCACAAAGCAACAAGATCGGTACTGAAGTCGACTTACCGACGTGCATAGCGATACCAACGCCTCGCTTGACCGAGCCTCCAATGTTGTTGCCGTTCCACGCGACTCCCTGGGGGACGTTGGGGTAGATACCGGAGGCAGCGAAGAAGCAACCGGCATATTTGACCCCGTTGCTCTCGGAAGAGAGTAGCATGACGAAGCCAGCCATACTGAAGAAACCGGTTAGCCGCAGATGCTCTGTCATCTAGGGGCGCGGGGGATGACATACCCTACAAGGCAGAAGAATATCATGTAGATACCACGCTGTCGGTGACGATCAGCCAGCCAACCGCCGCCAATGCAGCATACGCAGGCCACAATGTACGGGGGTACGGTCATCAGCTGGGCCGTCTCGTTGGTGTATCCGAGTCCGCTAACAATGGTTGGGAGGAAGAGGGAGTAGGAGTACAGCGGGGTGTAGACTCCGATGGTGATGAACTACAGTGTCGTCAGTATCCCCTCTCGATGTGGAACGTACTGGCAGGGGTCTAGACTCACCATGTGCACCCAAATCTTCCAGTCCTTCATGGCATCCTTGAAGTAGGCCATGCTAAACTCATCGGCAAGGGCAGACCGGTCCTGTTCCAGGCGACGAGTGACCTCCTCCTTCTCGGCAACGGTTAGGAACTTGGCAGTGGCGGGGTAGTCGTTCATTATGAAGAAGGCGGCGATAGCTGTGTGGAAATGGAGGTCCATGGTTAGTTTTGTGTCATCACCAGAGGCTGATTCGGGTCTGGGCTTCCCCCTAGCTTACCGACAGCGAAAGTGATGATTCCCTCTAGTATGAAGATCCACGCCCAACCGGGTCTACCTCCGACTCCGTCCATCTCGACTATGCCTCGAGCAAGAAGACCTCCAAAAGCACCGGCAGCAGTGGCAGCAGAGAAGAAGATGGCCATGCGAAGACCACATTCGTGGCGTCGGTACCACATGGTGATGCTGGAGACATGAGGGTCAGATGACGGTGATTGGCGAGAGAGATGGTCCCGGACAAGGAGCACTCACTAGTAGGTGATACCCGGGAACAAACCACCCTCGGCGAGGCCGAGAGCCATGCGAGCGGCCAACAAACCCGGGAAGTTATGAACAACACCCATAAGGGTGCAGCAGACGCCCCAAGCGATCATGATGGAAGGGATCCAGATAGAAGGGCGGAAGCGCTTCATGGCCAAGTTGGAGGGTATCTCAGCGGCGACATACCAGGGGAAAAATACAGACAGAGCCACGTTGTAGTCAAGGCCCCTCATGCCGAGATCCGCCTCGATACCAGCCAGTCTAGCATTACCGATGTTGGTGCGGTCCAAGAAGGACAGCAAATACAACAAGGCAAGGAATGGAATCAGAGTCCAATCGATCTTTCGAACAAGTCTCTTTGTGGCGGCCTGGTCAAACCCGCTTCTATCGGGGTCGCTCGCGTATTCGACCTCAATAGAAGGGTCGACAGCTACGCCCGCCTTGACATCTTTCTCAGAGGTCGACATGTTGGGCTATGAGTGGTTTTGCAGACGGCTCCAGTTGATTTCCGGAGAAAAGGCTGCGTCTCGAAACACGGAATGTCACCGAATGTCGGCCGGATGATAAGCAAAACCTCCCACAAGTGGTGTTTATGGTTTGAGAAGGGCGGTGGGCTGTGGAATGGCTACGGGCACCCAAAACAGCTGATACCAAGAGGGAAACAGCCTTCTATGACTGTCTCGGAAAACAGTAATCGGGCGCGACAGGAAGGCCAATGAAGACAAACCAAAGCTGGAGGGACGAAAACGAAGCTGGACGGTGTTATGGCGAGCAACCCGTGTCGGGTGCCTCGACGGAACGTGTTGTACGCGGTGTCGGGTATTGATGTACCGAGTTGGATCGAGACGGAGGCTCAAGACGTGTCTCTATCTTGGCGTATCACACGGAGTCAGCGAAACCCGAATAGGTCAAAGAGAGGGAGAGCCAGAAAGGGGAAGAGGAAGCAGGTGAAACCGTCGAAGCGGTGCAAATCCGCAAGGAAGAAGCTGCCCTCTTTAAATGATTAACCAGCAACACGACATGGGCAAAGACGGTTGAACAAACACGAATAAACACGAGAGAGTCAACCCATCAACCAACCAGCCAACCCCCCAGTGTCTTAGTCTCTTGGCAATCGACTTAGTGTACTATATATCCACGGGCTTGCGGAAGAGGAGGAGAGGGAAAATGAAAATAAAGCAAAATGAATGATACCCAAAGCCCTGATGTCTTATGTGAGCGGTACGTACTGCCCTTGCCTTGCCTTGACTTGCCTTACCTTGCCTTGCATACTTAGCATGCATGATGGAGATGGCCAAAATATCCCTTTAGTTGCGAACGGACCCCACTAACCCCTGGGTAGACCCACCCCCACTTTTACCCCTCACTTTTAGATATATATAACAATATATTGTTTTAGAATATTATTTTGTTAGCAACTACTACTAATTTTAATATTATTACTAACATTATTATTAAAATTACTATTAAAATTATAATATCTTCTAATTTAGATACCTCTATATATAGTACTATTTATATAAAGGTCTTACTAGAGGACCTTACTATTGTTTACCTAGATAACTATATCCTAGAGTAGTATAATAACGTAATAATTTAGCCTAATAAGCCTCTAGCTGCCCTAGGCCCTCTAGGCTTCTTTATTCTGTTTAAGGTACTAGACTAGTAGCCTAAGGTCTATAGGCTATTTGTTATAGGACAAGTGCCTTATATAGTAGATAGACAGGTAGGACGTAGGATTACCCTGTTAGCATATGTCTAGGCATATACCTAGGGGTATATATCCTATTGCCTATTTCCTCTTATAAGGAAGGGCAACCTTAATAGACAACTTACACTAATACCTAGCTCTTGTCCTATGTTATTTATTTAGCTTTTATTATTATTACCTTATTTTACTACTCTACTATTATACTTTACCTTTACACTATATTACTTTATATTACCTATTATAGCCTTACTTCTCCTATTAGATCTATAATAGCTAGTAAAAGGCTATATTAAGTAGTAGTATAACTACCTTAATCTACACCTTTAAAATTTTTTTTTACTAGGATATAGTAAAGATACCCTTTACTTTAATAAGAATTAGCTTATAAAAACAGTATACTAAGGCTAGTATAACTAGGCTAAATTACTAATATATAGTGTATATATATATAGCTTTAGTAGAATCTAAATTATAAAGTTACCTATTCTTTACTATAGAGCCTTTATAATAATATATATACTTTATATTTATAGAATTTAATAGTAATAGGCTATTCTATAGATAATAAACTAGTAAAAAGGGTTTAAACTAGATAGTAGTAATATAGTTAATTTATTCTAGATAAGATTAAACTCTAGATAGTAAAAAGAATTATTAAGAACACAAGAGAGTATCTAGACCTATATATATAGCTTTATATAAAAGCTATAGATATTTATTATCTTATACTAACTTATAAACCTCTTAGTTATTAAAAAACCTAGTTATACTAAAAAGATATATAACTAAGTAAGTACTAATACCCTTAAAAAATCCTTCTTAATAAACTAACTTAAATAAAGATATTATAATAAGTAAGGCCTTTACTAAAGTAAAAATATTTTACTAGATAGTATATTACTAAAGTAAATAAAGGTATAGTAATATTATAGTAATTACTAAAAGGTAAAAGACTAGAAATTATAGGCCTACTAGGCTTCTATACTAGCCTACTAATAGATCTTACTAAGAAAAGTAGACTACTAGTTTATCTTTAATAACACTTATACTTTATACTAAGTTAATTCTTAGCTAGCGTAAGTAGCTACCTATATAGCCTAGACCTACTAAGGTTTTAGCCTATATAGGCCTAGATAGTATAAGCCTTTTACTTATCTTATAGAGTATATTAATAACCTTTACTATTAAAGTAATAATATATATACTACCTATAGCCTAAGGACTACTAGTAGTATACCTATTCCCCTAGGGAACTACCTAGGTAGACTACTAAGTGCTACTTACCTTCTATACACTTAACACTATTAGACTTAATAGTTAAGTAGGCTTAAGCTTATAAAGACTACTACCTCTAAGTTAACTAGTAATTAACCTTATATAGTAAAGATAAGCATTAGCCTTAATAATACCTTTTACTATAGGCCTAATACTACTAATAAATATAAATAAGTTTATAGTAGCTTTCTTTTATACTATAGTAGCCTAGATATAGTAGGCTAAGACCTTATTAAGTTCTATAACTAGCCTAGGTTATACACTAGCCTAGATATACCTAATAATAATAGTTAAGATATTCTAGCTAAATATAGACACTAAATATTACTTACTTAACCTTATCTTTTATAACTACTATATAATATATTACTATAAGGTAAAGTTATAGATCTAAGTAGTTAAGTAGTATATTTAAATAGATTATCCTTATAGTGTTTTAGTTAAATAGTTTAGTAATAACTCTATAGTTAAGTATATAACTAGTAAGAATTTTAACTTATAACTAAAGAATAATACTAGCTAAAAGAATAAAGGTAGTTATATATTACTAGATATCTTAAGAATATTTTAGCTTATCCTTTATTAATATAGAGAAGTAGTTTAAAAGAACTACTTTACTATTAAGAAAGTTAATAAGTAGAATAATATTTATACCTTTACCTAATCTACTTTAAATACACTAAGGTATAAGGTAACTAAACCTAGTGCTAATAGCTAATAAGGTTCTATAATAACTTTACCTTTAACTTTAGTAATTCCTTTATAAACCTAGGGAATATAACTCCTTAGATATATATATTATACTTATAGAGAATAACACTAAGTACTATAAGATATAGTACCTAGATTATATTATAACCTAGTGTATATTAATAATACTACTAACTAGAATAATATAGTTAGTAATATAGTACTATAGAGAAGTAACTAGGATATATAGGATCTAATATAGACACCTATAAGGACCTTTATATAGTAGACCCCTCTAATATAGAGGAAGAGATACTACTCTATAAAGATCCTATAATAATAATAATAGGCGCTTAAGAAACTACTGCCTATATAATAATAGTCCTTAAGGAAACTATAGAGATACTAGAACTATAGTAACTATTAATAAGACACTAAAGACTAATATAACTACTAAGATAACTTAGACTACTATATATATAACTAGTAGCCTTAGTAAAAAAATAAATAAAGAAGTAGTTAAAGATAATAAGTAAAATATACTTACTAATTAATAAAAAAATAAAGTCTAATTTATCTAAGAATATAATAAAGATATAGATCCTATATTAATAAGCTTATTAAAGATAAGTATATACTTAAAGAAACAAAGGAATTTCCCTAATCCTAGGAGTAATATAAACTTTATCTTAATACTAAAGACCTAGGACTATAAGCAATAGAGGAGCTAAAGATAGTTACTAAAGATCCTAAAGACCCTAAGGACCTATACCCTTAATAAGATAAGGTTAAAAGTACCTTAAGTAAGCTATTAAGGTATATAAGAAAAAGAACCTAAGGAGGTCCTAATAAAAGCTAACTACTAATAATACTATAAACTTTACTTTTAAACTAGTAAAGTTATTAAGGCTATTATAAAGCTAATAAGAAAGAAGTTACTATAAGTGTACTTATCTTTAAATTAAAGCCTAGGTAAATAAGGACTTAGAGGACTACTTAGTGTATATTAATACTAGTGTATTAGTAATTTTTACTAAATATAACTAAGTAAAAAGATTTATAAAGAACCTAAGATTTTCTTTACTAAGCTATATAAAGTAAAAGCTATAGGATTATTATTTATATTAATAAAGATATTACTTTAATATATACTTTATTAGAATAGTAAAAGCACTAAGATAAAGGTCTATATAATAATTATAGTAAGAGTAGTTAAAAAACTTTAGCCTACTTACTACTTAGTATACCTTTCTATAATAACTATAGTATAGTAGTAGATTTTAATAAAAATAGGTAAAGCTTAGGTTAGCCTATAATATAATAATCCTAGTAATAGTAAAAATTACTTCTTATTATAAGAAAGTTATAGCCTAATATATAGTAATAATATTACTAGATTTAGTCTACTACCTCCTATTAACTTTATTAACCTTCCTAAGAAATATAATAAAGAAAGTAACTTATATAAATATTAAGTATACTTAACTAATAAATTTACCTTTAATATAATATTAGATTTATTAACCCCTAAGGTAATACTAGTCTATAATAATATAGGTAGACTAATTACTATTAAGAAAGGTATAAAGGTAGTATAAATCTCCTAGTATATAAAGGAAGTCTATATAGCTTATTATAGAGGAAGCACTAGATATAATTACTTATAGTAATATAGTAAACTTCTTAATATTACTAACAAGTTCTTTAATAGTAAAGTAAGACTACTATAATAGTAGACCTAGTAATAAATTAATAAACCTACTATTACTAGCTAAAGAGGTGCCTAGATATAGGATAATAAAACCTAACTTTTACCTTATAATAACTAACTACTATAAAGTAAAGATCTATATAGATAATCCTAAGTATATAGAAAAGCTAAAGACTATACTTAATAAATATTATATCTACTATAACTATAGGTTAATACTATACTAGATAAAGATAAGATAAAGATTAAGCTACTTAATAGATAGTAAAACTAGAAATAGAATGTTTATATATTTTACTTAGTCTTAAGGATATAAAGCTTCTTAATAAATAAAATAACTAGTAATATAAGATTAGTAAAATTAGTTAGTAATAACGCCTA